CCCCCCCCAAACCCTAGGAAATAGCCATCGGCATCGGAACGCTAACGAAGAAGGAAAACAGCTCCGGCCTCGACACCCCCCTCGGCACAGCCGGGACCATGCTCAGCGGCGGCCAGCGACAGCGTCTGGCGCTCGCGCGCGCCCTTTTGCGAAGCAACAGCCCCGTGCTGCTCCTGGACGAGGCGACGGCGGCGCTGGACGGCGCGTCGGAGCGCGTGGTGCAGGAGGCGCTGGATCGGGCGGCCACACGTAAAACGACGGTGGCGGTCGCGCATCGGCTGCGGACGGTGCAGCGCGCGGATGTGATTGTTGTGATGGAGCGGGGGAGGGTGGTGGAGTCCGGGAGGCATGGGGAGTTGATGGCCCGGAGGGGGGTTTATGCGGAGTTGGTGGGGATGCAGCGGTTTGAGGGGGTTTAGAATGTCCCAGGCTGGTTGTTGTGCAGTTGTGCAGTCGTGCGCTTGATCTCATTTGCGCTTTTTTTGATAGCAGGGCAGTGGATGCATGCGGGTGTATGAAGATTTCTTTTTGAAAGTATATAGGCGTGCTTGGTAGATCTCCGCATGGGACGAGAAGGGTTCTAACAACCTTCATGCTCAATACTGGAAGATTTGCGCCTTTCTCTTTCCTCTTCCTTGCTTCCATATATACAGTGCTTGCTCTCTGTGAAAGATGGTTTCACATCCGTATACCAACTATAGCCCCTTCCCCCACGCTCAACCACAGAAGAATGAGAGTCATCTATACTGGGTCCGAGTTACATCCGGTTCAGATTTCCACCACTTCACTTGTCCGCCGTACATCTACTTCTCCATCGTTAGAGGACAATATACGTGTGTGGATATTGGAACAGTATCGGCCGATGGCACTAGAGTCGGAGCCTTTGCCCAAGTCCCTGTATGCATGCCCCCCCCGGGGCAACAATAGGGCTGCGGTGATCTAGTGGTATTAGTATTGCAGAGCTTCCTTGGCCTGGAGCGAGGTGGGCGTGCAGAGTCTGGGTTTGAGGCCCGGCCGCGGTATTGTTTTTGGGATTCTTGTTGCAAGGGAAGGCGTTGTGGGGGCTTTGTTGGTGGTTGATGCAGGGTTTGGATGTATATCTGGGAGTATTGGTTGGGAGAGACGGTGGTGTTGGAATAGTTTGGGAGGAGGGCAAAGGGGGGAAGGAGGTAGAACTTGGCGAAGGAGAAGTGGACGAGGACGAGGACGAGGAACGGGGAGAGGAAGAGGAGAAAGAAGGACGACAGAAGAGAGGAAGAAGTGCGGACAAGAGCATGTCCGCAAAGTCGAGTGCTTTGTTGGCCGATTCCTCGAGCTCCCGTCTAGATCGTACTTGACTCACCACGGTTTTTGGGGCTCTGGAGGAAGGGCATCCTAAAGGAGTGCTGAGGAGGAATTGTCTATGCAGAGTACTCAACGACTGTTTGGCGTCTTCACCACGTCAGCAGCACGATACAGCACGCGAGACGCCTGCACATGTTCAGCGATACTTGGACCGATGATGACTGCCACGGCCCATTGGTAGTCACCCAGTGGAGACAGAAGCTCAGTAGTATGGATATCCTGCTAGGCTAGGTCTAGCTGAATGCGCTCGACGTCTAGAACTCCTCCAGGCCTTGTTCGGGTTTCATGCCTTACAGCCTTATCAAGTACCCATTGCGGAAGCCCAGGTATGTAGCCAGAAAAACAACAGCTTACGGGGAAAAGGTAATAGACCGCGAGTGAGCCCATGCCTGAAGCGGAGCGCACTAGCCTTGCGCTTCGAAGAGTCTTGAGCTAGGTGGTCTGATTGTCGACTTGTGAACGTTTGGTCCACATCCTGAAGACGGTATATACAGGAAAGAAATTCCAGTATATGCCTACCAACGCGACATCCGTCCCACCCTGTAGGGTCCAGACCCAAATGCGATGGAGCGGAAGCGTGCAACGATGGAAGGCACTTTGCACGATAGGGACACCAGGCCGTGCGAGAAGATAACATGGGTAAGCACGGAACATTCTCGAGCGTCACTACCCATGGCTCGACGAGGAGATTGCGTAAGAAGATGACTGACGAAAGCTCACGAGGTCAGAGTTGGAGTGTTGGTCTAATGTCATCCGACTCTCGGCCGTGGTTCCTTGCTTCTCCATCGCGACGAGGCAAGGTATGGAAACAGGAATAGCATGTGTTCGTTATGCATGCCAATTCTATTTCGAATCCTAATCGACATCGCTAGCTCTTCTGCCCTAGGTTGTTCCAATCGGAGCAATGCGGCCTGTTGGAGCTATTAATTAGCAACAAGTGACTAGGCAGTAGCGGCATCAAGGACTGCAACGGTACTATAAATTGTGGCACAGACGGTGAAGCGAAGACTAGTCCGGAGGGGTTCTGGAGTTCATGCAAGTCTCACCATCGCTCAAAATAAATGCCACTAATTTGCATCCTGGTTAACCCGCATACTTAGTCCTGCGGGTTAAAAATATCCCTAATTTCGCTGAGTTCGGCGATGCGCTAAGCCCAACCAACAGGTTTTTACCTGCGCAAGAGCAACGAACTCCGGGCTAAGCAGACTAAGTGTCCATTTGAGGAGTATTAATAGGATGATTGTCAATTCAACCCACCAATCATCCGCCAAAAGAGGGGTTTCCAACAGGTTGGTTCTGGCAGCTACACAGCCCTCGGCTGGGGTTGACAGCGGCGACGCTCCATGCCAATGGACCGTTTCAAGTGGGTGTCAAAGTAGCAAACCGTTTCAACCCAACCGCGTGCTGGCCAAACAACGTGACAGCTGCGGACTAAAAAACCTCATGGCCACGCGAGAACAATACTTAAGGACATCATGCACATCACTTTTGCCCGAGTGAGACATTGCCATTGTTCTCGGCAGCCATGTCAATGGCTTCAGCGGCAAACTACCAGGCAAGCGCCACGCTGACCCCCTGCTCGAGCCTCATCGACAGGGAGCTACCCCACAAGACGGCCGTGGAAGATCCCGCCACGGAGCAACTGGCATTCGCCCTGTTCGAGGAGAAGGTTCTAAAGAGACTCGAACATGTGGTACGCTTGTACAATGCTGGGAAACCGCTTTTCCCCCGAGCGCTGCTGGAAGACCTTGACCGGCAAATCGAAGAAGGCAGGGAGGAGATCCGCATCAAGGACTTCGATGACGTGGTATGCACGTATAGCCGGAGTGTTCCTGCTGTATGCTTGGACCTGGCGTGAGTCTCTGTTCATATGGGTCGCGGTGTTGTCAGGCCTGGTCTAACCAGCGACAGAACAACATACTGCATCGGATATAGCAGCATCCAAGTGCTTACCCATATCCACCCTTCCTGTGCAACGATGATGTTCAAGGACCCGCCCCCAGTTTCCATTCTGTATACCCGTCATCCCGAAGTTGCTGAAGGTAACATCGAAATGCTTGGTCCGGTCTTTGTCAAGATGCGCGAACGGTGGCAGGAGAGCGAGACATGCCAGGAGTTGGTATCCAACCTAACGACCCTGCGCTTCTCCCTCCCCATTCATAAGATTGTGGCGTTCGGTCTGGGGACACTGGGTAAGACGCAAAATGGACGGTTCTCCACACGATCACATGTTCAACATGCGGCAGTGGAAACGATGGCGACCGTTCTGGCCAAAAGTGGGGTCAGTGGAGGCAAGAGGATTGACTGCTACTTCCAAGATCCATGGTATGATGAGAACGATGTCAGGTTCCTGCACAGTATAGGCTTCCAACCACTGAACGACCCAAAGGGGTTCCTGGAGATCGACGAACATACCTTGGTGTTTTCGGTCAGCCCCAACGTACCTGTGAAGCAGATTGTCGCCGACCTCCAGTGGCCCGCTGCCATGATCTGGAATACTGTGTGCGGAGAAGAGGAGAAGAAGCAGTGGAAGAGGCGGTTGAGGAATGGCGAAGAGTTCTGGTTGGGGTAAGTAGTGCCTTGTTTGTTGCCTGGGTGCCTGGGGGAATCGGAATCGGTTCAGTTTGTGCTCAGCTGATTGATGGATGTTGATCTGGTACTACAGCCCGCTCGCCACGGATCCCGACTCGGACCGCGTTTGTGAGATGATCACTCACTATCAGAATTTCGCATTGCACGACCCGAAGGACTATTTCGGGGACCTCTCAATCTACGTTAGGCATTGATGTATGTGGCTTGCTAGTACCGATTTGCCTCTCTCTCTCCTTGTGTGTGTGTTGGTGTTGAATGAGTAGAATATATCTCCTATGACGCGCATTGCCTTCATGCACGTATAACTTGCTAGCACCAATGGAATCAAAAAGTATCTTCATCCCTGCTCTACTTACATGTGGAATTCTTCGAGATTTGTCTGGTAGGCGCTAAAATTGACCGTGCCAGCAGTACCATTATGCACTGGCAAGGATGATTGATGCCTGAGGCTGGAAGCAGCACAACCAAGTCTCGTACGGTGCTGTAGTAAGTTGATGCCTGGAAAATCAACAACTATTAGGAGAGGAAGTAGACTTTTGATCCAACCATCTTCATCCGACATCATAGAGGACACTGAATAGATATTATAAGCTTCTACAAAGGTCGATCCCAAGTGGTATGATTAAGCAAGTCAAACAGTCCGTAATCACCGGGCAGGTGACTCCAAGGCGCCAAACCACCACCGCTGCTGGTCTGCCATCCGGCGTCAGCCCGGAAAGTGGAAGGATCGGGCATACCAGGCCGGGCTTCGAGGTCCCGGGTCTCGAAACTATTATCAGAGCTATTTTCAGACCCTGGCGTTACCTGCGTGGATATCGATGGACACAGTCGACGCAGGTTGTTTCTGATGAGGAGAGCCGGATGCCAGGACGTTGACAGTTCGTCCAGCACAGTAATGCAACTAGCGAGGTGGGTGACATTGGAGGGACTCTCATGATCTTCGAGCAGCGCCACCGCAGCACAGAGCGTGCAATGCATGGCGGAAATCGGGCTGCGGTGGAAGCTCTGGAACACTCGGCGGTATTTCTGAGCCGTCAGACACATCGCCTTGGCGGACTCGCGCCAGACAGCCTTGGCCACGGTCATGAGTTCGCTGGACCCTGCTGCGCGTTGATGCTCGGCCGAATGGACTATGAAAGGCCGAGTGAGGAGGATTCGTGCGGTATGGTATAGCATGTGTAATGTGTAGACGTGCGGGACGTCATTAGAGCGGTCGATTCGAAGCTCCTGTGGTAGGTCATAGAACCATGTCCGCAGGTCCAAGAGGCAAGTCCGGAGGAGGTTCAATCGTTCCGGTGGTTTGGTCAGATGCCTCGGAGCCCATCTGCTCTTGTCAGACTAGCATACCAGCTTATCCGTTGGTGACAAGACGTACAGTGATGTGAGTATTCTTTCTTTTATGCGACATAAAGCTGTCATGGCTCGCAGTAGAGGTATCCGTGCCCTTTGGATGCTTTCTGGCGTGCGGCCATGGATATGTTGATCTTCATCCATTATTGACGGCAGCTCAACTGCTCCTTGTTGATCCTGTAGAAAGTCAGTGAACGTGTCGATTGTGTTCTCGTGAGTACACGTACGAGCATTGAGCAGACCCGACCGGTATACGTGGCAAACAACTTGTCATGACAGTACAGCGTCCAATAAACTTGTCGTCTGAGGCGAAGTTCCCGGCCAGTCATTTGTATCGTCCTTTCGAAGACTGCGGGATCCATATTTAGCCCAATATCAAGGCTCAGCCGATTAGCCATCCCGTGATGCAGCCATCCAGCTGCGTCCAAGCCTATGGCCTTGAAGGGGAAAGTTAGCATACGAATATGTCTCGGAATCGAGAGACGTACGACGTAGACCATCCCGATGACCCCCAACGCTTGAATTGTCAGGAATGTAGGATGCTCCATTTCCTGATGTAAAAGGGTCTTGGCCTTTTCAAAAAAAGGTAATCCGGCTGTGTTCGAGTCGCTAGGGTTACTCCGAACCTCTGGGTTGTCCGAATACCGGGATCCAAGCGCAAGGATGGAGTAATGAAGGAGCAGACTCCAATACGGGCCCTGCTTCTCCATACTTTCTCGAAAGAGGGTTTCGTCCACGATGGGGTACCACGGTTGCTCCCAGGTAAAGTAGAGATCGATGAGCTCGTCCTGGAGCGCTTTAGAAATGCCTATTTCCTCAAAGGCAGGATCCACAAGGGGAAAGTTGAGAAATTCATCAATGCTCTGCAGGACGGGCTCTAGCTCAGGAACGGAGTAGGCGTTCTCCAGTTCCTCTTTCTCTTCCGGCCCCGGGGATTCGAACTTGAGTCGTCCGCTTGTTGGTCCGAAGTACCTCATCTCCCCGTCCTGCTCGAAGTTCATTGACTCATCTAAGGACAAGCGACCTTTGAGGTAATCGCATAATTCCTCTATTGATGCATTCTTCATGTTGAACATCTGAGGATCATGGTCTTCATGAGGGGACCCCGCATCAATTGCTCCAGAGGCATGGCTTGCTTGAGGATCAATGCCATGACTTTCCAGTTGCTTCTCGAGAGACGCGATTCGCTGCCGCAGAAGAAGCACGTAGGACTTTGGCGCAGGCCGACGGCCATCTTCTGCACCAGAGTATTGACATCGTGCATCATGATGAGCACATCTCGAACAGCGAGGTTTCTTCCCATCACACTTGTAGCATGTTAGTAAGCAGGTGGTTGATCGACGAGCCCCCGAGAGAAAAATTAGAGGCTATACCTTCGCTTTTCGTTGTCGACATTCCTCACACGCTTTGCTTGTATATCTCCCTCTCGTTCTGGAAGCGGCTTTTCCTCTTAGAGAAGAATCTGTGGATGACATGCTGATAGTTCATGGTTGGAAGAACGAATGGACAAAATGATGAATCATGTGCAGTTCGTTCGATTGGAAGTATTGGGCAGATTTGTCAGCAGCAGCGTCATTGCTGTGCTTGTCTTGGCACGCCTAATCGGGCTAGTCTGCTTCGCTTCCCTCCCAAGTTCCATCAATTGTTCGCGGAATCGGCGATTGTGATCACCTCCACTTACTCGCAGCTTCCTCAACTACTTACTCACAGGCAGCGGTGTTCTACCACAGACTATCTTATCACTTGGATCAACCAACTGCTCTATTGACATTGATACGATACTAACGATAGTCCTGTCTATCTGCGCCTCGCAATGCACGGATAACAAATGAGAAAGAAGCGAACCCACCAAACACTGAGAGCCAACAAGCGACCCAACTCGGCCCATAGTTCAATACCGCGCCCCCACAGCCTCTCCGGTGGCTAGTGCTACGGCAACCACAGTGTCCGAGGCATGGCTGATTGTCACTTCGATGTTACTGATGCCTTTGGATGCTGCAACCGCATGAGCATTGCCATGAAGCTTGTAATAGTCAGTACCACTCAACATTCAACGGAATGTCAACAAAACTTACGGTCACACTCAGAATACCATCTGTATTCACAATCTCAATCTCGTTCATTGAAGCTCCTGCACCTCGGGACGGCGTTTGCAGACTCTTGAAGACAGCCTCTTTAGCACTCCAACGACCTGCGTAAGAGGCACGGGGACTTGAGGCCTTTCGGCAGTACTCGCGTTCTCTCCATGTGAAATTCCGCTCAATGAAGTTCTCGTTTTCGATGTTAATACTCGCGATCTCTTCCACGTCCACCCCGACGGTGACGGACGAAGCCGGCTTAGAACGACGAGTTACATCTTCAACCATTGATTGGACGATTGCCGATACCGTGTTTGACCTATCGGTTGTTGACATCATCTCTGCGTTGGTTCTCTGGACGACGAAGGCATCTTGAGTTGATGCCCTGTCAACAAACCGAGATTGGTCTTTGGCGAGGCGACTGTTCTGATTGAGAAACACATCACGCATGTTATCGGTGTCTTTCCACGGCGCACTGGTTTTGACCTGAACTAGTCTGTTCTTCAGCAACCGCGAGATGTATTCTCTAGTTGCTGCTCGCTGTCGCTTGTCTACCTCGGTACGGTATCTCTCAAAGACCTCAGTTGACACAGATGCAAACAGATACCTCGGGGCGACCATGACGTTGATGGCACCTTTCTGACCAAAGCCAAACGATGTGAGCATGGTCGCCTTTACCTCATGAAGCGGCAATGACTCCATGGGATACAATAGATGTTCGAATCTTCGCAGTTGCTCATCGATGTTGTCGGCGTTTCGATTCCCAGGAACAATCCTGTCTCGGAATATTTGCATACAGCCGTGCAGTTGCCAGGCGCCTGCTGCTGCCTTCGGATGGCCAGTTAGTGATTTCTGGCACACGCAGAGCAGTGGATTGCCTTTGCGTCGACCCAAGTGAAGCATCTGCGTGTTGATCACGTCCCCCTCGTTGACCTCATTGGCTTTTGTTGATGTCCCATGCATTGACACAACCCCAATGTCGTCAACAGTCAGGCCCCATGTAGCCAAAGCGGCTCGCACGGGTGAGATTGAAGAGTCCTGTAGGCGAATATTGTTCGCCCATCGCTGCTGCGCATCCCGGATTCTCAGGTTCACGACTTGCTCCGTGCGAGTATCCTCAGGCCGTATTTCGACACTTTTGCTCGACGAGTACTCTCTTGTAGGTTTCTGACCTAGATGATGCTGCTGGATGCAAGCTACTTCTCTATCGAAGTTTGAGCGCCGGAATTTGAAGTCAAGTAAGGGCGAGCTTTGCGCTCCAATCCCCTCGCGTGCCGCAGTGAGGATCCCCTTACCGGGGGCCGGTATTGACCGACCGATCTGATCACTCGCGAGTTGGTTGTAAGCGACCACACCATAAATTGGCAATCCCATGTCGAGCGCGACGTCAGCACTGGCAAGTATCTGGACACCGCATCCTGCAGACTCAGCAAAGCCACTGCGTGAACTTGCCGTCGGGCGCGAAATCTCGCTCGGCAAACGGTCTTTGGCAAGCTCTTCGGCACTGTTGGCCGTGGCTTTGATACTTGCGAATTCATATGCCACCTCCTCGCCATAATCATCACACCCGCCAACCAGAGCCATCCTGCATTTCCCGGTCGTTATTGCTTCACAACCCGAGTCCAAGGATTCAATGGCGGTGGCACACGCTCCAACCGGAGTTTTCAAAGGCCCCGTCGAAGATAACAACAACATGTTGATCCATGCACCCATGGTGTTGGCAAAATGATCTAGAATGATGTCGCCTCGGATTGGTCGATCAAGGTATCGGTCTCGATACATGGATTGGATGGTCTTACCAGGGCCGCCACCAGTACCCAGGCAATTAGTTAGCTCCGACGGATGGATGTGTTGGTAAAGCTCGTATGGATCCTGGATTCCGGCTGATAGAAACGCCTCAGAAACGCAACACAACGCATACAAAGTCGTTCGATCCACCTGCTGCACAATGTCATCCGGAATTCCGTACCGTGAAGGGTTCCAGCCCTTGGGAACTCTTCCTCCAACAGTCTGGTCGAATGGAATAGTTTTTGGGATCATTAAGGTTGCGCCTTTTTTGAGGAATACCCGATAATCTTCGGATCCTGTTATAGGCTGAATAGAGACTTTCTCACCATGCCGTAGCTTGAAGGCCTCCGCTGCTGACTTTGAGCTCTCGAATGGTGGCAGGTCGTCTTCAATCACCACTTCTTGGATGAACTCTTTCCGCGATGGATCGTAACTGTCTAACTCGCTGGGCTCAATCAATCTGAGCCCAGTGCCCTTCGAAATAGATTCACCGTATTTGGTTGAGATGTCTTCATCCTCGACGGGCTCACCAGTCTCTGTGTCGACCCAGCCAACATATGGCTGGCCTTTCAGATCACCATCAACATGTTTTATCAGTCCCATTATCCAAGCCATCTCGATGTATCCCTCCAGGGAGAAATGACCCTGGGATTCCATCTCCCACCTTGTGTGAGCATTACCCCATGGCCCTAGTTCTGAGAATCCAACCACCACCACAGTGCGTGAGAGGTCTATCATGCCCAGGAGATCAGGAAGCCCAGAGATCATGTCATGATGATTCCTTAGAGGAGGAAATCCAATTTTTAGGTTAGCACGTTTTCTCTTAACGAGTGGCTCCCTTCGCTGACTGTGAGGGTGCTGGCCATGAAGAGCCACTTGGTGGTGCATGTCCTCTTTTGTCAAAGCACCTCGGAGCTGTTGCTCACCATCCAACCTTTTCCGACAGGATGCTATCTGCTCTTTGACATTCCACATGGACCCTAGTCCACCAGTCAGGTCAGCATAAATTGGTGCCTCTTCCGCAAGACTGGTTACACTAGGCGTTAACAATGCCAGTATATTCAACGCCATTTCAGCCTGCGTGAAAGTGATCACGCCGAATCTCTCCATCTCAGCAGACAACGCATTGGATGAGCGCATCAGGCCAGTGCCCCGAGTCCACCCGATAACTGCTCCGCAGACATTGACGAAAGTCGACCATGTCTCAGAGTGAAAGCGGTTGAAGAGGGTTTTTAAGCCAATCTTAGACTCGGCGTACAAACCATCCCCTCCAAAGGTGCCTTCATTACAGGACATGGGTAATATAACCATGGTTGGCCTGCTTTCGATCCGTCGCTTTTCTTTCTCACGGCGTACAAAGCCAATGAGTCTCAGAATGTTGACCAGCATTGCTCTGAGAGCAACCTCTTGCCGATTACCTAAAGAGTCTAACTCTCCTGTCTGCGGAATCGCTGCAAATGGGATAATGTAATCCAGATCACCGCCTACTGGAGAGTCCGAGCCATAGATGTACTGAATCAGTGCCTCGCAGTCTTTCTTGCTCGCTTGATTGAAGGATAGTAGGGTCAAGGATGCTCCTCTAGATCCGTGCTTTCTGAAAAGACTCTGAAAGAAGATCGCACTGCTGGAAACCGCGCGGCTTGTGGTAACGATGACCCTGGCGCCTCCAGCTAATAGTCCTCGGACTACATGCGCACCAATCGAGTCTGGTCCAGCCCCTGTTACGAGGACTGATTTGTTCGCATATGTGAAACCGGTCGTGACACCTGCATCGAGAGCTGTATGAAAGATCTCTGTCGCTGCGGGGTCATACAACCAGTCTTCCTCATCTCGCCGTTTTCTCAGGTGCACGAATGGGATCGCAGTCAAACCAGCTGCTGGAGACGTGCGCCCTTGGCGCACGACATCAGGGTAGTTGCGAATATTGCGAGGTACTTCATCATACTCTCGTTGTCCCGACGTTGAGATCATTGTCCTCGGGCCCACAGGTGGCTGGGTGTGGATGAAAACAGGATCTGCCATTTGCGAGCGTTTACCGAGGCGCAATATTTCATGCAAGATCGAGAGGTTGTTGCCGATCTGTGGTCTGGTCGATGTTACCTCCTGTTCTGGCAGTGTTGCTCCCAAATGAGTCTTTACGATTTCAACGCAGCTTGGCTCCCAACGATTAAATATGCGACGAAGGCGATCATCTACGCTCAGTAATGTCGCATCAATATGATCGCTTGAAACTTCGTGTAACCATCGGAAGAGGTCTTCTCTAACCCAATTCCACCAGGACTCATACTGCCGGGCCTTATTGAGGTCGAACATCGGCTTGACAGAATCCAGAAACTGTTCGTCCAACTCAGCATTCCATTGCTGAAGCTGATTTTCCATGGCCTGCAAACAGATTAATAGCTGGATCGAGTCGACATCCAATGCCTGTTCGTCTGGCTGAAGGTAGGCTGCTAGAACCTTATACTGTTTTCGATAAAGCTCCTTCTGCTCGCTTCGAAGAGACTCGAAGTCCGCCGAGCTCATCATCGTGGTCGATGAGGAGTTGTTAACAGTACTATCCTGCCCCCCCATAGCAGCGAATGCAATACCTTCGAACGCAGCGTAGTGTTCAACAAGACCATCCAGGTACGAACGAACCTCATCCGCACTCGCAAGCCGAGATGCTGGCTCCATGGTTGTAGCGAAGCACAGGAGAATGATGGACTGCGGCTTGTCAAGTCCCCATTTCAGCTTGAGGAAGTCCTGCATGGCACCTTGGTTGTTGAAACCCGCAGGCAACTTGCTCGACATGAATTTGGAGATTAGCATCGACATCTGCTTACCGGGCTTGCCTGAAAAGCCACCTTGCAGTGCTTCTCCCAGAGCTATCAAAGACATATCTTCAACTCCTTCTGGAACTCGCCCGAACTCCGCAACCAGATCTCCTGTCAATTCATTTTGCAGGGTTGATTTCCCTGGCTAGTTAGCCTCTCACTAGCACAATTGTGGTGCTTTACACCATACCTCCTGATAGATCTCGGATCGTCTTGGCCATTGGGACCTGGTCGAACGGTCGTCGCAATTTCTGCGCGGTCATGGCAAGAGTAATGTGTCTTGCGCTTAATGTGACATCCTTGCTAGGTGCGTAATGCGTGGGAGCTGTAGCAGATGGCAGTGCTGCCGGGCTTGCTTCGGGAATGAGTGTCTTTCGGATTTGAGCATTTGTACTGGAGGACACTGCGATATTCTCGCGGATCGGCTCCTTTGTAGGAGTTGTTTTTGAATATTCGTACATTATCTCGGCCTTGTCGTCCATGTACGAAAGAAACTGTAAGTGAGCCCATTGAGATGGACCATGGGAAGTGTGGTGAATGGCCGCTGACTTCCTGGCCATGTTTGCCAGAGTGGTCCTGGGACCAATCTCGATGTAGCGACGGATGGCTGATTTGGCTTTAAGAAGCTCATCCTGCGTCTCGATCCTGGAATGATTTTTAGCTGCTCTGGTGTGTCGATGAAGGTCTCATGGCCAACGTACCAGCGCACTGGGGAAGCCAGTTGATATCTACGTTGTCAGCTTTGGCACAATGCTTTCGTACTCATTCGCCAGGAAAACCTACGAAAGAAGCTCTATGAACAGCCTATACGCAAGATCATCCCGACCTCGGATGTTGAAAGGGCGAGCGCCGACTGAGTGATCCATGACAGCGTTAAGTGTCACGGCAAAATCTCTCTGTCGAACAAACACAAGGAGGTGAAATCCATCCGCTAGGGTAACTTGAGCAGTATATAGACTCTAATCGATCGGGCAGAATGGAATAAGGCACCAAGGTAAGTGCAATCGAGAATTCATTATCGGCAAGTCGCAATTTCAATATGGCCCGATGACTAAAATTGGCGACAGGTCGACGCGCTCTACTGGAGTGACGGCGCCGCATTCTGAACCACTGAGTCGTGTAGTACGGACCTCCTGTCCTTGGCCCTAGGGATAGAAACCTGGAGTTCTCAAACAGTCTCTAATATGTTTCGCAAAGCCTAGCCCGATTCGCATAGAGACCCAAAACAAGTCATAAGCTGACAGCATCTGTGTTTAAAAATCGTATTCGGCCAGACGTTCAACAAAACTCCGTCTGCAAAACTCCGGTCGGTCAAAGCCAGCGTCTGTTCCTGAAAGGGGGATGTCAGCCTGATAAAACTCCGGCCTGAGACAGGAGATCCTCCAACGGCGGATGGTGACAAGACAAGGGATCCTTGATAATTGCCCCTGGACCAACCCCCGATTTCTGGTGTGCTTGGACGTTTGTGGTCGGGATGTCAACATGACAGCCCTATCGGAATATATATGCACTATACGGGATGGGGTTGGATAGGCATTATTAGTCAAGCTGGCCCAATGGACAAATTTCCCATGCACATCCCTTGGGCAGCTGATGTGATGCTATCTCAACCAGCGCCACTCGATATGATACTACTAAATACAGTGAACGAGAACGTGCTTCGCTACGCAGAATGGGAAACCTCGACATGTCTTTGATGGACCAATGTCCAGCCTACCTCAGTTCTAGCTCTTCTTCTGGGATCGTCATGCGTACCTCAATTCCGTCTTCCTCGCCACCTTGCCTGCCTTCGTTTATGACAAGTTCCCGAGCGACAGCTGTTGAGATCTCCCTGATCTGGAAACATCTCGATCTGACGCTCACTGTGCCTTCGTCTCAGTTGCATTATCTTCAGTCACAAAAGGATGCATTCCTTCAGTGGCTAACCTCTAAAGAACCCGAAGACGAGCAGGGACTAGGGTCAGCGCTGGAGCTGTGCCTTAAATATGTCGAGTTCCTCATCCGACAACATTCTCCTCGGTCGGCCCTGGTGGCCGTGCTAAGAGCATTCGAATCTCGATTTTTGCAAGATGACGAAGATATCCACTCCAAGGTTGCCGAGTTGATTCCAGATTCGAAAGGTCGACAGCTCTATCTGACAGTGTATTATCGCGCCGTTGAATTGTGTGGCAACGGCGAGCTCGAGAACCACATCTTTCCGGCGCGCAATCGGATGAGTGCGTTGTTCCAGCATGCTCAAGCCAACAGAGTTCAATTGATGGCTGTCTTTGGCGGTCAAGGGGAAGCAAGTCGAACCTGTGTACAAGAGCTAATAGACCTTCACGCCACCTACAAGCCAATGCTGCACTCATTCTTCGGCACGGTCGGCGATCTGCTCAACAAGCTTTCGAATCTTCCAGAATGCGTGTCCTACTTTGGCGCGCAGCCTCTAGATCTCAAGGCCTGGGTTAATGACGGCTCGACAATTCCAGGCACCGGTCGGATCGCTCAAGCTCCGATCAGTGTGCCAGTAATAGGGGTGCTGAGCCTGGCTCGGTATTGCGTAACATGCCGGCTTTTGGGCCTGAACCCGGGAGAGTTACGCGCGTTGCTTCGAGCCACGACAGGCCATTCGCAGGGACTTTTGGTTTCAGCAGTCGTCGCAATGTCGGACACCTGGGAGACCTTCTATGACAATAGCGGGTTGGCAGTCGAAGCACTATTTTGGTTGGGCTGGGAGTGTCATCGAGGTGCACCGTGCACTCTCGCATCGGCGGCACATGCGCTCGGTGACTGTACAGACGACTACAGCATGCCCTCCTACATGCTCAGCGTGCGAGGAATCAGGAGAAACAGGCTCGAGTCAACACTAGCACATATGAACCAAGTCCTACCTTCACAAGCGCAAGTACACCTGGCGCTGATCAATGCTCGCGATCAGTTCGTAATAGCTGGCCCGTCCACATCCCTAGCTCACCTGCAAAGCTATCTGACGGAGGTTGTTGGTTCTGAAAAGGATCAGAGCCGCGTCCCATTCAGCAGCAGAAAGCCTTGGATCCAGTCTAGCTTCTTGCCAATCAGCACACCCTTCCATACGCCGTTCCTCGCTAAAGCTGCTGACGCACTCAAGAAACGATTTTCACGGCACCAGGTGGTATCAGAAGATTTCAAGATCCCCGTATATCACACCTACACTGGTCAAGATCTAAGAGAGATCAAGGGGAACCTGCTTCATACTATTTTTGATGCAATCGCGCGGGAGCCTTGCGATTGGCCTGCTGCCTTGACGGGGTCTTTACCATTGTCCAATCCTATGCACAATCCATCTCATATCCTTGTCTTCGATCGAGGCGGGCTGGGTCCATTGGTGAAGAAGATCCAGGAAGGAAGAGGAATCAGGATAATACAGGCTAGTGATCTTGAATCTCGGGATACTGAGATCGGAACGATGCGTGACCTCTTCTCGCCACGTCTCTTAGAAACATCGACAAGAATTCAGAGCTGGAGCCAGCGATATCAACCGCGGTTGGTAAATGGAGGCACAGTCTCTCTTGAGACCCGCCTGAGTCGCTTGCTGGGTTCGCCACCAATCATGGTTGCTGGTATGACTCCGACGACTGTGCATTGGGACTTCGTTGCCTCCATCATGAATGCTGGATATCACGCTGAACTGGCTGGCGGAGGCTATCGAACTAGCTCGGATATGACAACGGCAATTAAGAAGCTGATTGACAATACTCGTCCCGGTCGTGGAGTCACTTGTAACCTCATCTATGCAAACCCCCGAGCAATGGGCTGGCAGATAGCCATGCTACGCCGCCTATCGCACGATCGAATCCCCATTGATGGACTCACGATTGGCGCGGGAGTACCCTCAGCAGAGATCGTTTCCGACTATATCCGCACACTTGGCCTGCGTCATATTAGTTTCAAACCAAGCTCAGTGTCCACGATACGACAGGTCGTGGATATTGCTAGGACACACCCTGACTTTCCCATCATTCTACAGTGGACGGGTGGTCGAGGGGGAGGACATCATTCTTATGAAGATTTCCATGCTCCTATCCTGAGCACATATGGCACCATTCGACAGCAACCCAACATCTACTTAGTTGCCGGTAGCGGTTTTGGGAGCAGCGAAAGCATCTACCCATATCTCTCGGGGCAGTGGTCTGTTTCGCATGGCTACCCTTGTATGCCCTTTGATGGCGTTTTGTTGGGTAGTCGTATGATGGTGGCCCGGGAAGCACACACCTCTCCTGCCGTCAAACAAGTTATCACAAACACCACTGGTGTTCCAGATAGCGAATGGGTGAAGACATACTCAGGCACAGCAGGAGAAATTCTCACCGTCCAGTCGGAGATGGGTGAACCTATCCACAAGATCGCCACCCGAGGGGTACGACTCTGGGCGGATATGGATCGAACGGTGTTTAAGCTACCCAGAAAGGATCGTGTCGCGTACTTGACCAAGAATCGAGACTCCATCATTCAACGGCTGAACTCAGACTTCGCAAAACCCTGGTTTGGTCGAGATACTCGCGGTGCTGTGGTGGACTTGGAAGACATGACCTACGCTGAAGTACTTCATCGTTTGGTTGATCTGATGTACGTCCGTCATCAAAAGCGATGGATAGATCCATCTTACGTGTGCTTCACCTTGAGCATTGCGACTCGGACTCTGGAGCGCCTGCCGTGTGCTTCGCTTGATCAGCGCGCGGATATATCACACACAGTACTCTCAGAGAACCCAGATCTGTGTCTTCGCTCAATACTTGAAGTGTGTCCTGAAGCTAAAGACGAAGCCCTCAACCCAGAAGATGTCTCATTCTTCCTTTTGGAGAGTCGAAAGCCCAATCAGAAGCCAGTCAACTTCATACCGGCCCTCAATGAAGATTTTGAGTGGTACTTCAAGAAGGACTCTCTCTGGCAGGCAGAAGATATTGAAGCTGTGCCTGACCAAGATCCCGAGCGTGTTTGTATCTTGCACGGACCTGTGGCTGCACAATACTCAGTCGACCGGAATGAATCTGCCCAGGAGATACTGGACGGCATCCTGGGTGGACTTATTGAGCGCTGCCAACGCGACACTTGCCTGGAAGACTCAACTTCCAGCTCCGCTAGTGGACTGGCCACTCCTGACAGTTGGACATCGATTTCTGGATTAAGAGAGATAGCTGTTGATGACATGTCGATTCCAACGTCTATTTCGACCTCTGAACCTCTCGACGACCGGTCTGTACATGTTTCGGCCGCCGGGTTAAGCCTGTCTCGCAGTTTACCTCCATGGATACGCGCGATTTTTGGGGATCCCGTGCTGCTACAGAACAGACGACGACAGCGCAACCCATTTCAGCATTTCATCGCAGCGAACCCCGATGCAATCTTCCATTATGACCCAGACCGAGGAGAGATATCAGTCTGTGTCCAGGACGCATGCCGGGTAACCTCCTCCATGAAGCTTTCGAGCCCGAACGGCGTGAACATTGTTCTGGAACTTTACCCCCCTCAGGTACTCGAACCACTGAGGCTATTTTATCGATTTGATCCCAGAAGCATCCCTTTCAGTCTTAGTGAAATCATGAACGAAAGGAGTACACGAGTCAAATCATTCTACAGCCGCCTCTGGTTCGGGGAAGATGTGTCGACAAGTGGTAGTATTCATGATACATTCTACGGGAAGGAGATGACGCTCACCGAGCAAGTGCTCCAGGACATGATCGCGGCTGTTGGCCAGGCCTTCCCAGATCAAAGACTTATCTTCCTCGATTCAGATGTCCTACCCATCAGCATCGGAATTGTCATAGCTTGGGATGTTTTAACAAAGCCTTTGGTGCTCCAGGACGTTGGCGATGACCTGCTCCGGCTGGTTCACCGGTCGAACACGTTCGAATACTGCCCTAATACGGCAATGCTAAGTGTTGGCGATGTTGTCCGTTCACAGTCACAGGTCCGTGCTATCTATGTTGAAGATGCTGGTATGGTTGTTGTTGTGGAAGCCCAGATTATGCGTTCGGGCAAACCGGTTCTCACGGTGACATCGACGTTCCTATTTCGAGGGACCTTCGAAGGGGAGAGGGAACTCTTCAGACGCATTAGAGAGCCGGAACGTAAGCTTCATCTCGGATCTGAGCTTGATGAGACTGTTCTTCGACGGCGGGAATGGTTCTACGTCGATGATGAGACGATTTCACTGATTGGGAAGACTCTTCTTTTCACGCTGGAAACCCATACCATACACAAAGAGGGCGGCTTGAAGGAACTGCAAGTAACGGGAACTGCCAGAGCGCAGCTCGGCGGGTACTTGTGGAAGGAGGTAGGGACGGTGAATTACAGCTGCGATGACTGTGTCGGCAACCCGGTACTTGAGTTCCTGGACCGCAAAGGTAGTCTGGCTTCTCCGGAGGTTGAACTTAAGAATTCGGGATGGTCAGGTTTGTCGTCTATTGAAGTACAGATGCCACCGAGCAACCAGCCATACGCCAACGTGTCGAAGGACTTCAACCCAATCCACGTGTCAAGTATATTTGCTTCCGTGGCCGACCTCCCCGGCACTCTGTCGCACGGTATGTGTACTTCCGCAGTCACAGCGGCGGCCTTCGAGCACCTTGCGCTCCACGGCGATCGACGCCGGCTTCAGTCATTCACGGCAAGTTTTACTGGCATGGTCATGCCCCTGGAAAGGCTGGTCGTCCAAATCCGGCATACCGCGATGGTCGAGGGACGTATGCGCTTCGCGATCGATGTCACGCGCAAGGACAGTGGGGAAAAGGTTCTTGAAGGTAGCGCTGTTGTGGATCAGCCGGCTACGGCGTACCTGTTCACAGGTCAGGGTAGCCAGAGCAAGGGCATGGGAATGGACCTCTACGAGTCAAGTCCAGTGGCGAAAGCTTTGTGGGACGAGATCGACATGCAGCTCTACGACTCATACGGTAGGCTCTCTGCGTGTATTGAATGGATAAACCGTTTCTAACGATGACAGGCTGGTCCGTGCTGGACATTGTGCGCAACAATCCCAAGTCAATCACTGTTCATTTCGGTGGCAAAAGAGGCCGGAAGATCAGACAGAATTACTTGTCGATTACGACCGAGACGGTCCTTCCGGATAACACACGCATCGAAACGCCCGCCCTTCCGGGTCTCACCTCTCGATCCACATCTTATACATTCACCGACCCGAAAGGATTACTATACTCTACTCAGTTTGCCCAGCCGGCGATTCTGCTATTTGAGGTAGCCGTGATTGCTGACCTGCGCAGCAAGGGTTATGTCTCGCCCGATGCATTGTATGCCGGGCATTCTCTGGGCGAATACGGCGCATTGTCGGCTCTGTCGCAGTCGATTCCGATGGGTGCACTGGCTGAGTTGTCATTCTACCGGGGCCTGATGATGCAGGCATCTGTGGCGCGGGGAGAACAGGGAGCGGCGTATGGGATGACGGCAGTTAATCCCAAGCGGGTAGGAAGGTGTAAGTATCATGCGATTTGCGGACGATGGAACATTTGCTGATTACTGGCAGTCTTCAACGATATTGCTCTGGGGCGGCTGGTTGAGGCGATTGCTGAGGTGAGCCACGAGCTACTGGAGATTGTCAATCACAACGTCAAGGGGGAGCAATACGTGTGTTCAGGCACGGTAGGTCTTCACGTCTACTACTTTCGACGAAATTTGCTCTTAATTTTGGATCATTACTGACTTGACTAGGACACAAACATGTGGGTGCTTGGGAAGGTCCTTGATGGACTGTCACAGTCGCCCAACGGACCTGATCAGATTCAGGAGATGATGAACAACCCAACGGGGACGAGGGCCATTGATGCAACGATTAAAGATCTACTGGCTGCAGCACACGGTCTTCGCAAGCCAATTCAGCTACAACGGGGGACAGCCAGCATTCCTTTGCAGGGTATTGATGTTCCTTTCCATTCCAGCCACCTGAAATCGACGGTCGATCGGTTCCGACAGTGTCTGCTCAAGCCCGGTTTCCTGGAGGGCAACGTAAACATGGCCGAGTTGGAGGGGCGGTACATCCCCAATGTCATGGCGAAGCCGTTCTCGGTGAACGAGGAATATGTTCGGGAGGCATACGCGTTGACGCAAAGTCCGATCCTGGGGGAGATCCTGGGGGTTACGGCATAGATTAGAAGCGCGGAATAGATTGAGTTTGCGCATATAACTTGCATTTTGTTGAAATATAGCGAAATGAGTTCACATGAATTGACAAACAGATAATCTGAAGTTACCGCACATTTTTCAACCGTGCTAGAAGAATTGACCACAGTACTTGACATCAATAGAACTTCCCTTATCCATTAATACATTTCCCATTTCCTATTTCCCATTTCTCTCCAAACCCCAAACACACCCTTCTCCGTTCTCCACCGTTCACCACCACCCCCCCTCAAAAACAAGAATACCCCCACGTCCCACGCCAATACTGGCCCTGCACCTCGCCGACCATCCCCTCGACATCCAGCCCCCACACCGTCATCGTCCGCCGCCGGATCTCCTCAAACACCCGGCTCATCATCCCCGTCTCCGCCGTCACCTCCCCCCCGGCCCCCTCCTGCCCCTCGAACAGCTCCCACTCGTACGCCCGACACACCTCCCGACTACTCCGCATCACCCACTGCGACCGCTTATACCGCACATCCGAGTACGCCTTGAACGCCACCTCCAGCGCCTGCGGCGCCGTCAGCTTGCCCGAGAGGACGTCGGCCTCCGCGCACGTCAGGGCGGTCACCAGCGCCAGGGCGTCCTCCACGCCCACCCCCGCCCCCGCCCCGTGGTGCGGGGATGCGGCGTGCGCCGCGTCGCCGACGAGGCAGACGCGGGAGATCGCGTAGGTGGGTGGCGGGTGGTTGTAGAGGTCGAAGATCGGCCATTGCGTTAGTGTGGGTGGTAAGAGGGTGAGGAGGGTGCGGAGGAAGGGGGTCCAGTCTTTGAAGGTGTGAAGGAGGTGGGTTTTGGGGGTTGTGGGGGTGGAGATGGGGAATGGGGAGGGGGATGGGTTTGTGGGGTTTGTAGGGCTGGTGCTGGTGCTGGTGCTGGTGCTGCTGGTTGGGGCTGGTCTGGTGCCGTCTGGGGTGGTGGTGCGGCTGGTTTCCGGGGTGTTGATTGTTGTGGTGCTTGGGGTTGTGTCTGCTGTTGTGTTGCAGGTATCACTTTTGGATTCGGGGGGGTTGAGGTTGAGGTTGGGGGTGGGGGTGTTGGTTGGTGTGCTGGGGCTGGGGCTGGGGCTTTTGCTTCTGGTTGTGGTGGTGGTGGTGGTGATGGTTTCCTCGATTGGGGTGGCAGTGGTGGTGGCTGCGCCGGTGAAGCTCGACACGTCCCAGTCGTTGGGGTCCGGGACAAACGCGACCACATTCAGCAGCTTCTGATTGGCGACGGGGAAGTGCAGGACGTGGGCGTGAGGCCCGCAGTGCATGTGCTGGAGGAGGGCGCGGTGGCGGCCCAGATGGGCGATGGCCTGCTCCATCGGGATGAGGCCGCGGTAGGCGAGCTGGTGCGCGTAGCGGGGCCGGTGGTCGGCGTTGGGGAACATGAGGTCGCGCACGCGCGATTTGATGCCGTCGCAGCCGATGACTGTGGTTGTTGTTAGTTTTTGTGTTGGGTGGTGTGGTGAGGTTAGGGCTTTTGGTTTGGGTGGAAACTCACCTCCATCGACCTCCCTCACACTCCCATCCCCAAACACCAGCTGGATCCTCCCAGACTCTAGATACTCGTACCTCTCCAGCCGTTTGCCGAACTGCACCACCCCCTCGGGCATCAGCTTCATGATCTCCTCCAGGAACTGCGCGCGGTGGCACCCTTCGAACCCCCGTGGGCCCGCATACAGCTTGTAGACCTTCCCCTCGATGCCCACGGGCTGGTCGTTGTCGTCGTCCACGTACGTGTGGTAGCCGTCCACGAACCGCATGTTGTAGTCCGGGTCGTCGGGCTCGCCGTTCTCCGTCGCCACGGCGCGCAGACACTCGTCCAGCCGCGGGTCCAGCCGCATCATACAGTGGCGCGCCGCCCGCGTGAAGCCGATCCCCGCGCCCAGCTCGCGATGGCACGCCGCCTGCTCGTAGACCTGGATGCGGAGGTGCGGGGAGTCGCGGTTCAGGAGGCCCAGCGCGAGCAGCGTGCCGATAAGGCCGCTGCCGATGATGGCGATTTCGATGGTCATTGTGGTTGAGGTTGTGGACTGTACATGTACGTGTACGTGTACTGGGGAGGGACAATGGACAGGTCTAGTGTTGGTGGTAGTGGGAGAGCGGGTATACAATCTCAAACTACAATATAATATCTTACCACGGGTACTGAAGGGAGAGTATAGTACTTGGAGGTGGCCTACACCAGGCACTGCACAGAGTACATACGTCCGAGGTTGACTCACCCTCACTCAGACATTCACTCACTTACTCAGTGTACACACCACACCGCACCGCAACAAAACCTAACCAACTACCTACGCTCCAGCTTTGCTTCGCCTCGCTTCGCATCAGGCTGCAGAACGCCCAAGGTAGGGCTACGTAGTCATGCTCTGTCACTCAGTCCAGACGAATGTCAACAAACAAACGAACAGCGGGGCAGTCGCCCGTCTACCCTCTGGGTCCCCTCAAACAACAAACGGATGTTTTGCTTCTCCTTGCTGTGAAAACTGGCTGTACTACATTGACAGCGCAAACGCAATTTCTTTTCTGCCAGTCACCGTCAAAAACCGTGCGGACAAACCAGCAGGGCCTCACAATCCGGCTTGAACGGATCCGCATGTCGTGGTTTTCGGCGCGCGTCACGTCACCTCCCCCTCAAACCGAATCTTCTAGGTGGTGGAGCTTGGGCTACGATGTTGCGTGGTACAGTATACAGCGGGTAGAGGTAGGGAGGTGGGGGGGGGGCGCGGATAACTACCGAAGGGCTCAAATATATCTCCTATTTCTTGCCCTTCCCCAGCCTCCAGGCCGTCTCGTTGTCGAGGTTGAATTGCTGGGGTTGGGAAGCTGTAAGCTCTAAGCTGTAAGCTGTCTCTTGATAACTCGCACTCTCGATCGAGAACCTCATCCCATCTTACGACCTACCAGTCCAAACGGCAAGAAATCAAAGCAGCAGAGGATCACCAGAACACAACCTCGCAAGAAGAAGGAAAAGAAGCCAGGCAAAGCAGTGCAAGGAGAGGTTAAACGCCTCTCGTAGTACAACATCTACTTCCCGTGTAACCAGCCACCAAGCAGGAGCAAAAAACAAATGAATATATCTCCGAGGCAGCAGGAAAACCTGTGTTACCGTCTTTGGTTGGTGCGTAGTTAGCGTCTGTCGTACCCAACGGATCAGAATCTCGAGCAGTTACGACCAAGGCACATCAGGGACCAGGTTTCGGCAGCCCCGTCTGGCCTTTCCTTTTTTTTTTTTTTCGTTCTTTTTTTGACTTGGGTAGGGCGTTAGTGTATCGGATGAAAGCAGGGGTCTGGTGGAACGAATCGGAGGGTAGGGGGAGGGCTACACAGGCAAGGGAGCAAGAGCTCTTCTTGTTGCTAAATTTACGGTAGGTTGCCGGGCGGGCCGGTGGAGCGGTTATTCCTTTACTGTTGGGTTGCTCAAGGGGTCTGTCTGTCTTGCTGTCCGATGGGGCTGGGTGGTTGTGGACAGATTTGGGCGGCAGGGTTGGAAATTGGACTTAGATCGTGGGAAAATCTCCGAGGATTTGCGGCGGATCTTGGGCCGGGCCGGCTGGTTCGATGACTGGCGTTTGGGGAGGGTTTGGGTCTTAGAATTATGGGGGGGTTCGGCTGGATTGGGATGGATCGGATCTGAAGTTGGGTGGGTTGGAAACTGGGGATGGGTGTCGTTGTAGTCAGATCTGACGAGGGATAAGGGCTTGAGGTCAATCTGTGGGTTGTTGAGGAGGGGATTGTGAGTTGTGAAGTGGCGATGTTGAGGGTTGAGGTTGCTATTTTGAGGACAGGAGGTGGAGGGGGCTTATTGAGAGGGAGACGTTCAAATAGTCGTGCTGGGGGGGGGGGGGGGCGATATGAATAATGTCATTGACGACGTATAGGAGATGTTGGCTTAGAAATACCAGAGTATAGCTGAGCATAATGTTGAAATCATAGTATTGATATAATAGTATTGATATAGACTATGCAGTCTCTCATCGTAGCATATCACAGTGCCAGTTAGATTTGTGATGGCCTCAGATCGTATGACACTGGGAGAAGTACTAATGAATGAACTCAACAATACTGATCGGGTGGAACTGTAGCAAGCAGCCCGAAACTGATCTCATTCTGGTTTACTTGAACTACTTAACATCGACTCGTGGCTTCATCGCTCATCGCTCATATCCCATAATTCCTGCGCTGAATGCGCGCAACCTCGTTGATCCGCATCATCCTCATGGATCAACCAATATAACGCACCACCTCATTCCACTCCTCATCTACCTTGAGCAACGCCCAGTCCCGCTCACTCAGGCACAACAACGCCTCCCACCCTCCCTCCTCATCCCCCTCATCGATCACCGGCGCGACATAGCACGCACACGGCAAGGGGATCTCAAACGAGGGCCGCCGGATCGCATGCGGCTTCCCCAGCGGCCCAAACACCGGCACCGAGACGTGGGCCATGCTCGAGCACGAGAAGTCCGTCAACGGGTTGAAGGCGCCCCCATACGCGACCTTGCTCTTATCCTCCTCGTTGGCCAGGAACGTCGCGTAGCTGCGCGTGGCGTGCACGTTGTGCAGCGACCTGATGTGTCTCCGTAGCTTGACGGCCAGATCATACAGCGGCAGCGAGGCGACCTCCGTGAGGGGCAGACGCAGGTTGGCCGTGCGCACCATGTGGCCCATGTAGTAGGGTGAGAGGTTGATGGTGCGCCGGAGGTCCAGCGCGCGGGTGATTTTGGAGGTGGACGCTTGTAGGAAGGGAGGCAGGTGCGGGAGGCGCAGGGTGATGAGCCGCTGCCACAGGAATGCGGTCAGGGCGTCGTTGGGGGTGATCTTCTCCTGTTTTTGGTCCTTGGATGTCGACTCGACTGGTGCGGGCGGCGCAGCCTTCTGGAAGATCTTGGTCATGGACGTCTCGCTGAATCGCACCGCCCGCCATTTGAAGGTTGCCATGTAGGCTTGCATCTCCGGTGTGATCGGGCCCGACGACAGTCCGGGAACAATCGCCGGCTTCAGCTCGCTGTGATCGTCCAGGGGCTCGTCGTCTTTGAGCAGAGGGATGAGGGTGCGTCGGTCGATGTTGCCCTCGCGGATGGCTTGCTCCGGGAACGGCTCGTCGCGGAGACTGTATGCCAGCAGGTTCATGATCTGGAACATCCCGTTCCCGTCGATGATGTTGTGCTGGGCCGCAATGGCCAGAATCAGGCCCCCCTCGATCCAGTTCAGCTGGTAGTCCAGCACGGGCGCTGGGTTCGTCTCGTTGTCGTCGTCGAGATAGGGCTGCGGAAAGGCCGGGCGAGGAGGGGCCAGCACAGTCGGCAGCGAGGTGGTCGGCCACCCCGTCGCACGCAACTCGGCAAGCGATGCGACCTCGTGCGTCCGATCCTCCACCCGCAGGAATTTATGATCGGGAGCCTGCCATGGGATGTGAGGACGCACGATGAAGGCGCCCGAGCAAGATGGCGTTTGGCCTTCGCGGACGACTTTGCCGCCGAGAAAGGGGAAGCCGGCGATGAGTTGGTGGATGGCCGACTCCAGGGCTGTCTCGATCTGACGGCGTGCTACATCGTTTGGGAGTGGGAAGATGAGGAGCATGTGAGAGTAGGATTTCAGTAAGGGCAATTGGCCCAGGATGTCTTGGGTGCGGTCATAGTCCATGATGGTTGTGGTGGTGGTGGTGGTGGTGGTGGTGGTGATGAGGAACGAGTCTGGCGTGGTTTACCCTGGGGTTACAAGGGCTACGGAAGACTACGTTATTGGGAGAGAGACAACTACTATAATATATACTGTACGGCGTACTTCTCTTAGACAGAAATCACCCACTGCTGGCAGGTCTCACAGCAGTGTGCCACATTTTGAACTGGGCCCTGCGCAGTCTTTGTATCTTGACTACATGTGCTCTTCTAATCTGGTGTCATCATCAGAAACCCCAACCCCTAATAATAACTAACACCTTAACATCGGTCAATATTACTCATGCTGCTGCTGCTCATAATATTGGCGCCAGGATCGGCCCGGCGGAAATGGAGCATTTCAATAGCGGCTGTCGATCGCAGGGCCCTTCACTGCACGCGATCGATCTCGGCCCGATGAACACGAGATTCGGCCGATTTCTGGGGATTCTTGTGATCAATAAATCGGATTCTGCACTCTTCTGTTGACTTCTGGAGGATTGGTGTGGTTGTGTGGTTGTGTGGTTGTGGTGTATTTCTTTTCTTTTTTTCCTTGTATTTTTCCATTTTGCAGTGCAAGTCGGCCATTTCTGCCCTAATTTTGCCCCCTCGTCGTTCGTCAACAAAGCCCCTTCCCTTGACTGGCTGTGCATATTGCAGTCCCACCTGCTCCAAATTCAGGCTAATGCCTAGCGACTCAGTTCATCCCCCCCCCCTCTTTTCTTTTCCTTCAGATCTCGGCTCTGATCGCATGCACGGGCGCTACATACTGTCTGAGCGTGGAATCTAAGGCCAGCCCGATCTGCCATCCACTAATCCATCTCTCGCATTCACCTTGTTGTTGTTTGAAGGTCACACTTCCACTTATGTTGGGTTGAACCGTCCCTCACAGCTGCGATGCAGGACAAGTTGACATCTGCCGTGAGAGGTCTTCAGCAGGTTGGCTGTTTGCTTGCCTCCTCATCATTTGCCACTGCCGCTGCCACTACTGCAGTGTATGCAGAGATGCAGCAGATGTACCTCTCTCTCTCCTCCCCCCCATTGCTCCTCTACTCTACTGTACATGTACCTTCAGGGGGCCGTCCAGACCCACCAAAACAATAGGCCTCCGTGAGATCCTAGCCTGCAGACCCTCTGCAGGGTTGATCCTGCTTTCCTGCCAGCTGCAAGACTTGCGATCGGTCGCATTTGCTTATTCGGTCCCTCAAACTTGCTTATTCGCCTCAAGACGCACCGCTGTCCTCAATCGGATGCTGTGACTCGGTGGCTGGCTGAGAGGCGTCGACGTGATCACGTTCATCAAATTGAGAGCAATGGCACTGTTCATTTAGTGGACCCTAAGAGATCGTGGAGGTCAAGATGATTGCGGTTCATGCCTTTCCCATCGTTGTCAAGCGCCCGATAGTGAGTAATAGTGGCTCAACGAAGGCTTGTCCAACTCTCATCTATACCTCTCCCCACCATCGCCCCGGATGTGTCTCCAGGATCAGCTGCAGCCTGCAGAGTGCAGGGCTATTCTAGCTCTCTCGACTTGCCCTTCTGGTCAGAAAGGCCTCGTTCAAATAACAACAGAGCCAGTCAGCGAGCGCGCTACCCACTGCGATCTGCATCCTGCAGGGCAGTCATCACATTGCACTAGCTAGAACGTGTTCCTTGAGGACGCACGTCGAGTCACCATTTAGATCCGTATGGATCGACCGCCACACCCTTTCCGACTGGCTCGTCGGCGCTGACTGTGTGGATGAGCTTAATACCCCCAAAAAGCAAGCATGAGTAGCCCGGATGGGGTCCTCTTCCTCGGTATCGGACTGGCTCCTCGACTCACTGGTTCGTCCTGTCTAGTCCGACTAGTGTTGGTTCGTGCGGTCGATCCATTGCTTTGGTATCTTATCACGACCCCACTAGTCATCGGCTGGAGCAAAGAGAAGCCTGGATCGACGCACCTTCTCATAGTCGACCGGGCTTGGTTATAAGTCAGGAAAACCAAGCGCTGCGGAGGTCGCTTTCATTTCGTCAGAGCAACCAACAGTGGAACTGGAACTGGTCTGCGGGTCTACACTTCATCAGCCCCGACATGGTCACGTCGACGCCTACAATCTCTAGACAACGCCCTGGCTCGGCCTGTGAGGAGTGTCGACGGCGAAAAGTGCGCTGTGACCGTCGTCGGCCTCAGTGTCAGGTGTGTTTCGAGACCGGGATCGAGTGCAAGATCAACACCACCAGATTGCCCCGGGGACCTCGAAAGGGCCAGTTGCGTACGCTGCGGACAAGAATCGGTACAGCGCCCTTCATACTCAGTGGATGTGCATTGACGACTGACGCACAACAGCTGCTCTAGAGCGCTGCCTCGCAGATCAGCATCCCGAGATCAATCACCAGATGGCGAGTCTGTTTGACGGCACGGTACTTGACTGTGACTCGGAGGATGATCCCCTCCGGGACCTCACTTCACTGTCTGATTCAATTCCGGTCTCAGTGCCTTTGTCGGCTCTCCCTGAACCAGTCCTGGCCCCGGGCGAGGAGCTGGAGACGCGCGAGAGAGATGCTCATCCCTCTATCGCATCTACCAAGATCCAGTCGCCAAGGACCCCAGAGTCGTTACCACGGTCGACAGGCCTGGTTTCGGAGCTGATTCGAGCTGAACTGTACGCTGTTGCTTTTGATCCTAGGAAGACTTTGCAACTCTAACCTATCGGCAGTGACCAACTGTATTTCGATCGGGTGCACCCGTTTGCGCCTATCCTCCAGCGCTGGCGCTATCACGTCTGGGCTCGCCAACCTAAGAAGTCCGACAGCCAGGTCTGTTTACAATACGCCATGTGGACGGTGGCAGCCTCTCTGTCTGCCCAGTTTCAGGCACTACGGGATCAGCTGTACACCGAGACGCGCAGGATTCTCGATTCCTTAGATCGACCGGATAGTATAACTATGGTCGCCGGGCTGGAACAGGCTCAGGCATGGATTCTAATCGGGCTCTACGAGTACATGCAACGGTCGGCTCTCCAGGCCTGGATGAGCATCGGAAGATGCTGCCGACTGGTACTAGGAATGCGGCTCTATGAGCTGGACGATGCCACCAACCCGGTGACGATGGCACGGGAACAGGAAGCTATATTGGTGGACTGGATCGGGCTGGAGGAGCAGCGCCGGACTTTCTGGATGGCGTATTCGCTGGATCGATTCATCAGTTTCCACAACGGGCTGCCGTTTACTCTGCATGAACCCGTGGTTTGTTTTCCCCGTACCTCCAGCCCATATCGATCCCACGCAGGCTGCTAACCCTGGATGATTACCACCAGATCACCACGCGGCTGCCCAGCCCGGAAGAGGAGTTCCAATGCGGGCAGCCAGCCCTAACGCCATACCTTCGCGAAGTGATGAGCCAGCATCCTCACCTTCACCACCCAGTCCAACCCAATCTATATCAATACCCCCATGTGCATGCCCAGCAACAGCAACATCACCCCCCCATCTACGCGATCCCTCATTCCCCGACCTCCCCAACCCACCTGACAATGGCCTTCCCGCCCGTGGCAGTGGCAACCCCCACCAACCCCACAGCAACAACAACCCCCGTCCTCAACCCCGACCTCAATAGCCAAGTCACCTACTCAAACTCAAGCTTCACCGAATTCATCCTCCTCGCCACGATCGTCGGTCGCGCCCTTTCGCACCGCCAAGCGCTGGTGGTAGAGCAACCGTTCCAACCATTCCACCACCCGCCCCTGTCCCCGACAAGCCCCCACACCCCGCTCCCCAACGCGCTCGACACCTTCTGGAACCGCCACCACGCCCTCCACGCCCTCCTCAGCGCCCGCATCCAGTCTCTGTCGTCCAACCCCCAGGCTCTAGACGACCCATTGATCATGTTCGCGCGCATCGTCGCGCAGAGCATGGTGCTGTTCCTGCACAACGTCCTCGAGTCCGTCGCGTGGAAGTCCGGCGGCGATCAACTGCTCGGCATCATCGAGGACGAGCGGCTCTGTGTGCTCGCCGCACACGAGGTCGTCGGCCTGGTCAAGGTGCAAGGCCAGTTAGGGTATTTTAAGGTGAGTTGTGCCCCTATCTTTCAAATCGCCTCGGCGCCTCGGCTTAGGCCGGGTCTGTTGGCCGCCCCTGCATCATCATCTATCCCTTTCTCAAACCACGCAATGAGAAATGTTCCCCGTGGAGATGATTCATTGCATCGCAGCCACACTCCACCCCCAAAACCCACGAGAGACCACGCAAAGCACAAACCCCGTACCCACACCGATGCTAACATCCCACCCCGTAAAGGTCCACCCCCTCACCCCCATCCCGCTGATGATGTGCACCGAGTTCCTGACGGCGCATGCGTACCTGGACCCCTCGTTCGAGGTCATGCTGCACGAGCTGCTAGAATGCCTGGGCGATCTGGAGCGAGTCAAGAACCCCGTGCAGAGCCCGACCCTGTCCGTGGTGGTTTAAAGCGTTGTCGCGGGATTCTCGTTCCACGGGAACTGCAATCCTGCTGCGGGATCATTTTCGGTGCTTGGTCGGGGGCTTTTTTTGCTTGAGTGATTATTTGCTTGGGAAAGCTTGAAGCTTGTGGTTGTTGGTGGTGCTGGCTGGCGGGGAGATGGTCAAGGCGTTTGTTGATGAATTGAGGGCATGGGTTTTTAGCTTTTTCTCTCTCGTGGTTTTTGGATTGCGCTTGATGCAGATTCAGATTCATTCTCCTGTGCAGGTCCATGGGATTCAATGCTGCTGCTGCTGCTGCTGCTGGGTGGTGGTGGTGGTGGTGTGTTTTGTTTTGTTGTGTTTTGTTGCCCATCGGATGGCAGGATGTTTGTTGTATTCAAGGGGCTGGCACTGGCCACGAGGATGCATGAAGGGGAGCGAGCAGCGAGCTTGCTTGCTTATAAGATACAGTTCAACCTAATATAATGGCATCATAACCTCGTGTATGTGCATAAAACAAAATTCGGGTTATCTCCTATCTCCATGAACTCCCTTTCGCCATGGACCACTACAAGAATCAGACAACCAACCCCCTTTCCCCAAACTCCGCTGCTTATCCCCGGGCTGCTATCAACTCCAACTCCGAAAAGCCTCTTTCGTCTTTCCCAACGGACGGCGATTAGGAAACTACGTTCTGCTGCAACTGCAACCGGAAAGAGATTAAACAAAAAACAGAGAAAAAAACCAGACACCCGTCGATTAATCCTCTTTCTTGTTTTCGGTCTGGTCGTCTCTCCCGAGGAGTACGTTGGCTTTACGCTGGAGCCCATTTTTCAGCCCGAAAATGAGGGCTGGGATGGCGTGGACGGGTTATGAAACTGGCGACCAGGTCTATTGTGCAACCTTGTCGGTCCACCTTCTAGTCTGGACTGGATGGATGGATCTGACGGCCAGCTAGCCCGAGGAGATACACCGAGGAATAAACTCCGGCCGTTGTGTCTTCATTTTCTCGAGCTGTCTGTCGTTCTTGATCCTGTCTGGTTATTTCAGTTGAGGCCGGCAGTTTCCTGTCTGGCTGGTTTCGCTGTTTCGGGGACACGGTTGGGGGGATCTTCCACCACTCGCTGCTGCTCCTGTGGATCTAAGAATAGGGTGATTTCCCCGGCAGAAGAAGGAAGCATAGGAATTGTTTCCGAGATGATCAGCTGTTGGATCGTTCCCCCGTCCCCCGTAGTGTATGTAGTCGAGGTAAGCTAGAAAGAAAAGCAATGTATACTGCGCCTGAATATGCATACTTGTCAGCAACGGGGGTCTGATCCTCCCATTCTCTGTTCGCATGCGCTGGTTGAAGGGAAAGTTTAGGTAGCCAGTTTCATGAGTTGGGTCTCGGTTTCCCGCTCCCTGTGTCTTCACAGGGCTGGGTGTAACTCTACCCACCTGTTTTCTTGCACGGTTGAGTATCGTATATGCCCGACGGACTGGGTTGGGAGGCAAAGGCCGTGGGTTCGTGGGACTGACTGTGCACACATACAACGGTGGCTCTACATCTCTCACTGTCTTTCGGTTACGGTTCTTGCCGATGGATTTGTGCATTAAAACCTGGCCGCTCTCTGTTTTCTTTCTTGTTGTCTGTGTGGATCTGTGACTTTTTCCTTGGATTGATCGATAGCAACCCTACGGGTCTCTCGTTTGTGATTCTCTCCCCGGATATAGCAGTTCTTTATTCCCGCGTGTTCATTATCGCTTCAGCGGGAAAGAAAGTCTCCGGGGTTTAGACGTTGTGAGTGCCGGCTCGTTGGTGTGTTTGTGTGGGAAAGGTTTGTTTGCCTGCTTCTTACCTCATCCGCAGTTGTTGGTCATTCCCTTCCGGGGATTGGTTTGCATCGATCCATATCCAGTAAATCAATACTTGCGACTCTTGTGGACCTGGTCTGGGATTGTTGACGTTGCGTGTGTGCTGGGGTGTCCTTTTGTTCGTCTGTTTGCTTGCCTGCTTGGTTTGTGAATTGTGAGTGGCAAACATACACCCAAAACTCATGGCCAGTCAATTATCACCTCCGCCGGGAGGCAAGACGGTGCTGCTATTCGGCTGCCAGGCCGTCCAGTTCGACGCCAACGACTTCCAGCAGCTGCGGCGCGTCATTCTGGACACGCCCGACAACCACTGGGTGCTGGACGTGCTGGCGGAGCTGCCCGTCTACTGGCGCACCGCCGCCACCAAGTACCTGCCGAAGCTGCAGGCGCTGCCGGGTGAGCAGCAGCTGCGCGACCTGAACCAGTGGATCCGCACCGGCAAAGTCGCCGACCGCCACTTCCCGCTGCCCTACCTCCAGCATGCCCCGCTGCTGATGATCACCCACCTGCTGCAGTTCGCGCGCTACCTGCAGCTGACGCACCCGGATTACGCGGCTCACGGCGTGGTTGACGCCGAGACGAGCCCCGTCGTAGAGATCGTGGGGTTCTCCTTTGGCTTTCTCAGCGCCGCAGTCGCTTCGAGCGTCACGAATCAGAGCCAGTTGCGAGAGTATGGGGCCGTGGGAATTCGGTTGGCGACCCTGCTGGGCGCGCTCGGCGATGAACAAGAGAGCCGCGAGAAGTATACCTCGCTGTCGACCGTGTGGAAGAAACCCGAGTTGGAGGGGGAGCTGGTTCGAGTGCTGGAGCAGCATCCGGAGGTAAGTTGGCTGATCTTGTGGGAGACTGACTAGCACGATAGCGCTAATGCCTCGTTCGTCAGGCGTATATCACGGTTCGATATGATACGAACCGCGCGACTATCATGACGCCGCGGAAGGGGCTGGGCCGGCTGCAGCAAGCGCTCCAGACAGCCGGATTTTCCGCATACCACATCAACTTCAACGGACGCTATCATTGGCCGGGGCATCAGAAACTATTGCATACGCTTGAGCAGATGTGTGGGGCGGATCCCGCGTTACAGCTGCCAGATGCATCGCAGTTGCCACGGCACACATGGACCAACATCACTAATGAGCCCATCTATGAGGGTCCACTGCACCAGGTGGTTCTGCGCTCCATATTGGCCCAGCAGTGTCAATGGGGTCCCACGTTTGCGGCTGTGCATCGGGCCCAACTTGAAAACACGCAGTCGATCGTGGTGGAGTTTGGCTCTGAGCGCTGCGTTCCCCCGACATTCATGCGCACGCTCGGCAGCCGCGTGGTGCACTATATGGACTTGAACCTGGACTTCCAGTCGCGCGTCTCGCCACTTCAGTCGAGCCCGACGCTATATGATGACGACATTGCCGTGGTGGGCATGGCTTGCCGGGTGGCTGGTGCCGACGATCTCGAGGAGTTCTGGAAGCTCTTGTGCGCGGGTGAATCGCAGCACCGGGAGCTGCCGCCGGAACGATACAAAGACTATGAGACCCCGTGGAGGCCAGGCGCGATTCGCCCTTGGTGGGGCAACTTCGTCAACGACATCGATGCCTTCGATCACAAGTTCTTCAAAAAGGTGCCGAGGGAGGTCATGTCCCAAGATCCACAGCAACGGTTGTTTTTGCAGGTCGCATACCAGGCTCTCCAACAGGCGGGCTACTTCCACAAGAAGGATGCCACCAAGGACATCGGGTGCTATGTCACCTGTTGTACCGTGGACTATGAGCATAATGTCAATTGTCATCCGGCTACGGCCTATGCTGCCACGGGTCTGTTGCGGAGCTTCATGGCTGGTAAGGTGAGCCATTACTTCGGATGGCGCGGGCCGGCGCTGTGCATTGACACCGCATGTTCGGGCTCCGCCGTTGCGCTGCACCACGCCTGCAGGGCCATCCTCAATGGCGACTGCAAAGCTGCGCTGGTTGGGGGCGCCAATGCTCTCACGAGTCCGCTAGCATTTGATAATTTGAACGGAGCGTCATTTGTCTCCCCCACCGGACCTTGCAAGCCGTTCGATGCAAAGGCCGATGGCTATTGCCGCGGCGAGGGCTTTGCAGCGATCTTCATCAAGAAGATGTCCGACGCGTTGGCTGACGGTGACACAATCCTGGGCACCATCGCTGGCACCGCGGTGGAGCAGAATGACAACTGCACCCCGGTGGTGGTCCCTCATGCGCCGTCGCTGGCAGGCTTGTTCGACAAAGTCATTCGTCAGGCCCACATCCGCCCGTATGAAATATCGGTTGTCGAGGCTCATGGCACCGGAACACAAGCGGGTGACCCGGCCGAATATAGCAGCGTGAGACAGGTAATGGGTGGTCCACAACGAGCAGCCCCACTGACGCTGGGGTCAGTCAAAGGGCTGGTTGGACATACGGAAGGTGTCTCTGGCATGGTAGCGCTGGTCAAGGTACTCCTGATGATTCACGAAGGAAAGCTCCCGCCCCAACCGAACTTCCACAACTTGAACCCACACATCCAGGCGGCTGCCGACGATCAGATCGAGATCACCACCCAGTTAAAGCCATGGCAAGCGGATTTTCGCGCAGCACTAATCAATAATTACGGTGCCTGTGGGTCGAATGCCTCCATGGTAGTCACTCAGCCACCTGGCTTTCGGACCGGGAGCGGTGCCTCTGCTATTCATGCCCCCGGCATCTCCCTTCCCTTCAGATTCTGTGGTTTAGATGAGCACCGTCTGCGCGATTATGCACGAAAGTTCTACAGTCTCTTGCAGCATCAGGCCGTTTCTGCGAGCCATCTCGCGTCTCTGGCTAATGTCTCGTTCAACGTTGCTCGCCAATGCAGCCCAACTCTCGACAGGCACCTGATATTCAGCTGCAGTTCACTGGTAGAGCTTGAGTCGCGGCTGCTTTCAGTCGTTGATGGGGACGAAAGCCGAGTTGTTCGCATGGCCAAGACCACCCGCCCCGTGATTCTATGTTTTGGGGGCCAGGTGTCAACTTCGGTCGGTTTGGATCGCACCGTTTACGACACAATGCACGTTCTGCGCAATCATCTCGATGGCTGCAGCAGGATACTAGAGTCGCTCGGGTACGACAGTCTCTACCCTGGTATCTTTGAGTCCACCCCAATCGCCGATCAAGTCAAGATACAGACACAGTTGTTTGCTTTGCAGTATGCCAGCGCTCGCTCCTGGATAGACTGTGGCCTTCCAGTAGCGGCCGTCGTTGGCCATAGCTTTGGAGAGTTAACTGCCCTCTGCGTATCCGGGGCACTGTGCCTTGAGGATGCGCTAGTCCTAATCGCTAGACGGGCGACTTTGATTCGGGACAGTTGGGGACCAGACCCTGGGGCCATGATTGCTGTAGAGGGCGAGCTCCACGAAGTTGAACATCTGCTAGCCGAAGCCACAAAATCTGTCTCGACTGGAACATCCCTGGCCAGCATCGCCTGTATCAACGGCCCACGTAGCTATACGTTAGCTGGAGCAACAGAAGCGATGAACGCAGTGCGTGTTATGCTTTCCACGCAGCCAGCATTCTCTCGTCTCAAACACAAATGTTTGGACGTCACCAACGCATTCCACTCGTCATTGGTCGATTCCCTCGTTCCCGACTTGAAGAGGATAACTGACGGATTGATGTTCCGCGAGCCGCAGTTGCACCTGGAGCGGGCCACGGAAGAGCCATGCACTGGTGTCCCCTCTCCGATCATTGCAGCTGAGCATCTCAGAAAGCCGGTGTACTTCAGTCAGGCTGTCAATCGCCTAGCAGAGAGGTACAAGTCGTGCATATGGCTCGAGGCCGGGTCCAACTCAACCATTACTTTGATGGCCAGTCGGGCGTTGGCATCAAGTGCTGCCTCAAACCATCAATTCCAATCCGTCAACATCACAAGCAAGAATGGGGTCCAGAGTCTGACCGACAACATAATCGCTCTCTGGAAGGAGGGAATTTCTGTCTCCTACTGGGCACATCATTCGTCGCAGACGCCTGAGTATGACTTCGTCTTTCTCCCACCCTATCAATTTGAGAAGAGTAGACACTGGATGGACAACAAGCCGTTACCCGCAAGTAGCCCCATCAAAGCGAGTGAAGTACAAGAGGAGCAGCCGAAGCCGAAAATTCAGTTCCTAGGATATCAGGGCTCGGCGAAGATGGTCGCCAAGTTCTCCATCGATACTACGCACCCCAGCTACCGTGAAGCTGTGTCGGGCCACATAGGTGCACAAACAGCGCCTCTCGCCCCAGCTTCATTCATGCTCGATACTGTGGTTGAGGCACTGAGAAGCTTACCAGAAGGTAAAGACAGAGTACCGCAAGTAAAGAATGTCACCAGTGATGCGCCGCTGGGGCTGGACGAGACACAAAATGTGTACATTACACTCACCGCTCAGAGCACGGACAAGACATTCTGGGACATGGAATTCACCAGCGAGAATCCCGAAAAGGGTGCACGGTCACGGGTAGTCCATTGTGCTGGTCGGATCAAGATGTTCAAGGCAGATGATCCCGCGCTCCAGGGCGAATTCTCCCGGTACGGTCGCTTGGTCAGTCACCGTCGATGCCGTGAACTTCTCGACAGCTCCGACGTAGATGACATCCTGCAAGGTCGCAATGTGTACCGCGCCTTTTCCGAGGTTGTGGACTACGCTGAGCCCTACCGTGGCGTCCATAAGTTGGTCGGCAAGGGCAATCAGTCAGCCGGCCGAGTGGTGAAAAAGTATTCTGGTCAGACCTGGGCGGACACGTTTCTGTGCGACTCATTCAGCCAAGTAGGAGGTTTCTGGATCAACTGTATGACCGATCGGCCAGCGTCCCAGATTTACATCGCCAGTGGCATGGAGCAATGGATGCGTACACCGTTGTATGCTGACCCGAGCACGCCGCGTCCTGAGACCTGGGATGTGCTAGCAACACATGAACGAGGAGATGGCTTCTACACCACTGATATCTTTGTCTTTGACCCGGAAAAAGGCCAACTGGTAGAAACGTTCATTGGGATGAAATACTCATGTGTGCCAAAGGCAGTCTTCAGCAAGATCCTCAGCAAGCTGGGGTCGAGTGCCATTCCTCAACAGACTCATCAGGCTGCAGTTGTGACAAAAGCAGTCTCGTCGCCGCTAAAAGCGACAGCTAGTGATCCGGTCTCCAAAGCAAAGAAGGCAAAGGCACAGACTTCCGACCTGGTCGTACGCATCAAGGGCGTGGTTGCCGATTTTTGTGCTGTCGATCCCAGCGAAATTCACGATGACGGCAATATGGCTGATGCTGGCGTTGATTCTTTGATGGCAATGGAGTTAGCACGCGAGATGGAAGAAGTGTTCAAGTGTACGCTGCCAGCAACCGAACTTATGGAGGCGGGGACGTTCCGTGACCTCGTCCGTGCGGTACAAAGAGCTATGGGAATCGACACAGTTGATGAGGCAGAAGATATAGATGAAACCAGCGAGAGTGGCACTACCTCTTATACCGAGTGTGAAACAGAGTCAGATGAGGCAGTTGACGCTGGTACCACCGAGTCTGTGACTAGCATGAGCACTGACACGCCCGAGCTACATCTGCCGCACGACAAAATCTTAGAGGCATTCGCTGAAACCAAAGCCTTGACAGATCAGTTTCTCTCGGAAAACAACTGCAGCGGGCGCGTGCTTAGCTTCAACCCAGTCCAGATGCAACTCTGCGTGACGCTGACTCTGGAGGCATTCGAGGAGCTGGGTTCATTCATTCGAAGTGCGCAACCAGGTCAGCGGCTCGAGCGGATCAAATTTGATGCCCAGCACGAAGAGCTGGTGGAATACCTCTATTCCCGATTGGAGGAAGCTCGCCTGGTAGAGTTGGATGAAGGAACGGTGACTCGTACGAGCTTGGAGTGGACCAGGATGTCTAGCACTGCCATTCTCGACGAAATCAGTCGGACCTACCCTGAGTTCGTAGGTGCCAGCAAGCTTGCCGTTTATACAGGAAGCAAACTGGCATCGGTGTTACGCGGCGAACAAGATGGTCTTCAACTGATTTTCGGGACAAAAGAAGGACAGGAGCTTGTGTCATGGATGTACGGTGACGAATCGCACAACGTGAGTGGTTACAATCAAATGCTGGATTTCATTCGGCGGCTCGTACACAAGCTTGGCAGTCGTTCGGGGACAGGTCCACTGAAAATCCTCGAAATGGGGGCTGGTACCGGAGGAGGTACAAAATGGTTCCTTCCCGTGTTGGCCAAGCTTGGGGTTCCCGTCGAATATACCTTCACCGACATCTCCCCTGCCTTTCTGGCGCAAGCCCGTCGGCGCTTCAAAGAATATCCCTTCGTGCAGTACCGTGTGCATGACATCGAGAAGCCTCCGGCAGACGATTTAGTTGGGACTCAGCATATCATTATCGCCAGTAATGCTGTGCATGCAACCTCGAATCTGCAGGTGTCAACCGGAAATATGCGTCGGGCATTACGACCCGACGGGGTGGTCTTGATGCTCGAGATGACTCGACCACAGTTCACAATTGATATTGTCTTTGGACTCTTCCGTGGCTGGTGGGTATTCAATGACGGGCGAAACCATGCTATCACTAGCGAGAACCGCTGGGAAGCCGACCTCCATGCCGTCGGTTACGGCCACGTGGACTGGACAGATGGCCATTCGGCTGAAGCGAGCGTCCAACGAGTACTCTTTGCTACTTCTACCGGAGAGCAACGTGAACGGCTTCCGCTGGGGCCGAATATGTCTCATGTGAGCCTCCTTGCCAGTGTTGACAATGTTGCTCGAAAGCAGGCGACTGACAAGTATATCCGTCGCAGCATTGAAGGCTTTACCGGACCGACAGTGACCCATAGTCTAGTGACTGGACCGGTCGCTGTTTTGGTTACGGGGGCCACAGGCAGCTTGGGCTCTCACATAGCTGCATATTTGGTGCAGCTGCAGGAGGTTAGTCGGGTCATCTGCCTCAACCGACAGGGGAAGGAGGATCCGTTTAACCGACAGAAGAAGGCTTTTTCAGATCGAGGTCTTAGTTTGACCTCCAACGACTTTGACAAAATCACGGTGATTGAAACAGATACGCAAGACGTAAAGCTTGGGCTCTCAGACGAGCAGCATCAATTTGTACAGAATACCGTCACACATATCATCCACAACGCTTGGCCGATGAACGGTGCCCGGGGCCTGTCCGGGTTTGACTCTCAATTCCGGACCATGCGGCACCTGGTCGATCTAGCACGCGACATCGCGTCTGTCCGACCTGCAAAGACTCGGATTGGTTTTCAATTCATATCATCCATTAGTACGGTCGGATTTGGTCCTCTCGTGACGGGTAAGCCAGAAATTCCGGAGGATCAAAGCGTGATTGACTGGGTGTTGGCCAATGGATACGGCGAAGCAAAATTTGTCTGTGAGCAGATTCTTCATCAGACCTTGCAGACGTATCCGGACCGGTTCAATGCCATGGTGGTACGACCTGGTCAAATTGCAGGGTCATCGCTCAGCGGGTACTGGAATGCTGCGGAGCATTTACCCGCTCTGCTGAAATCGGCCCAGACACTCAAGGCATTGCCTGATTTTGGCGGGGTGTTGTCTTGGACGCCTGTCAACACTGTCGCAGCCACTCTAGGCGAGCTTCTCTTCGCCGAAAAGGCCCATCCCGTCTATCATGTTGATAATGCGGCTCGTCAACCGTGGCGAGAGATGACGCCCATTCTTGCGCAGGAGCTGGGAATTCCCCTTGGCAATTTGCTCCCGTTCTCGGAGTGGATTGAACGTGTTGAGGCCTTTGCTGGTCCACGAGAAGACAACCCGGCAGGTGTGATGGCGGACTGGTTGGCTGGCAACTTTGAGCGCATGTCTTGCGGGGGATTGCTGTTGGCGACAACGCGTGCCCAGCGAGACGCGTCCACGCTGCGGAGCCTGAGGCCTGTTGATCAGAGGACAGTGCGGGGATACGTGCAATACTGGCGTCGGACGGGGTTCTTGATGTAGATATAAGTGAAAACTTTTCTTAACGTCAGCAGTGTGATCTCATAATTCATTTAGAGGATGCGAAATAATAGACGCAAATGTCAACTTTCTAGATCATGAAATGAAGTTTTTTACCCAAATTGTACAGAAAGCGGGGGGGAAAGACGCGGGGGGCATCACCGCCTTGGTCACCGCCATGGCAGGTTTCCTCTCCCCCTCCCGATAATTCTGCCTCGTGGCTGCAATCTTCCGCCGGAACCTGCAACTCTGCCTTTGCCGCTCACTCATGGAAGAACAGACAGAAGCATCGTCGTCCGTGGCAGACTCCTCTGTCTCGCCAATCTCAGCATCAGCTTCACTATCCAACAAACCAAGGAGAACACGATTGGCACCTTCAGTGCTACCCACGCGCGTCAGTAGCGCCTGTGAACGATGCCGTCTCCACAAATCCCGGGTAGGCAGGCCGACTTGCCGCTCCGGCATCGCTTATAGATCAACGGACTGACCGACTCACGGCAGTGTGATCCATATCGACCATGTTCATTGTGTGTGCGAGCCAATGTCGAATGTCGGCAACGCCCTGCAATTCAACGACGCGCGGGAAATCTCCCATCGTAAGCTCTCCCGACTTTTCCTCTCGAGGCTTCAAGGGGAAGTGCGGCTGTCCAATAGCCCCGAGCTGACCGCACGAGCTGAAGCTCTCGACGCAGACTACCTGGCGCTCGAGGAAAGCCATCGCATCGCCAAAGACAAATATGCAGCCCTCCATCTGGGGAACTGTTGCAGGGTCCGACCACTGGGGGGAACGATCCGGTTTCGTCGCCCCGAACGATGTCGGCGGACAATCGCCACCAATATAACCCGATATCATCGTCCATTGAACCTGGTGAAGCCGAGTCTGCCATGGGTATTGCTCGCAAGATATGCGAGCTAGGCAGCCAGCATCTAGACGAACAAACCACTTCGGCCATTCCTGGCTACTCAGCAAGTAAAGGCGTCTTGCCTGCGCCTGGCACTGCCGCAAATCGTCGTCCTATTTCCGCCATTCTAGGTCAACCATTCCCTGCGATCGAGATCATATACAATCTATTGGATGATTACTTTGACACGGTTCATTGGTTTTCGCTGGTAGTCTATGAGCCCAAATTTCGTCGCAAGCTTCAAACCATTGCCGACGGTTGCGCCGACCCCACCCAGCAACCCTTCCTCTTATTACTGGCAGTCATGCTCGGTATGGCGGCATGGTACCGGTCACAACGCAGCCGTCAGGAGCTGTCTAACGCGAATGACAATTGGGCGGACTGGAGTGATATTCTTATGCGACTGGTTGAAAATAATCTGATAGATGTGATGGACCATCCTTCTCTCCTCGCAATACAGACCTGCATTCTCTTCGGTTCATATCATGTTTACCACGGAAGACCAAATTTGTCGTTTACTCTACTTGGGGCGACTATCAAAATGGCACATGCGATTGGCATGCATCGGGAGCCTCGACGCGGTGACATTGATGACATCGAAGAGCGAAAGCGAGTGTGGTGGACGATCTACACATGGGACCGGTTTGCATCCATCACGTATGGCACACCATTGGGCATAAACGACAAGGATTGTAATTTGAGCATGCCTGCAGACATTTACGAAAACCCCTCCTTCGCTCACCCGGCCTCTGATGACTCTGCTTCTGTCTGCTATTCGCCATATCAACGGGAATTGAACCGACTTTATCTGATTGCATCGCCAGCACTTGAGATCATCTTTGGCTCTCGTACTTCACGGACGTCTCAAGATCTAGTCAGGGACAGTTTTGTAAGTTTGGTCCAGGAGACTTCGGAAAAGCTTCATTCGTGGCGACAATGTCTCCCAAGCCACTTGGTCCTCCATCTCCAGCAAGACTTCCGTGCAACCGGTGAACAGAGCTCCAAAGCGTATGCCTTACAAGCCTTGTCACTTCATCTAACATATGACAACATTTTGATCGTGCTTTACCGTCCTTTGATTTCAAGGCAGGTGGACCATCTTTGGACGAGCAACATGTCACCTGGGGTTGACGAAATCCATTCGACTGCTTTTGCGACGGCAGCTGCGCCAGACTCGTCCAGAAGAACTCCTATCCAAGCCAGCACAGCCAACTCGGAATTTTGGATGAAAGCCGCCATTCGAACGTCCAGGATAACTGAACTGCCGGTGCTTGCGCAACTTGCGACCGATAGTCATTTAGTCGCCTTCCTCGCCATCAATCTATTCAACGCCGCGGTTGTCTTGGCAGTAATGGCCATATCAGAGCCGCTTTCTGATACAGCTCAAGAAGTCAAGCGGACGATGACCCGCATTCTTCGTCTACAGGACCTCTTGGGAAAGCGCTCAGCCCTCTCCAGACAAAGTACTCAGGTTCTGAAGAAGGTGGTTACGATGCTTCTCCGCCGGGAATCGGCCGCCATGCTCGCCCCTCTTGCGGAAACCACCGCCTTCACTGAGTACGATACCAATGGCGACCGTGCTCTACCTGATCCGCCTCCCATGTCTGTCGAAGAGACGCTGCGATTGCCGTTAAATGCGACTTTAGACATTGTGGATCCCTTGGTGGGCAGCCAGGGGAGCTCTAACTTCGATCGCGCTGGTCGCGTCAATGAAAGCTTGACTTCCCTTCAGTACGGTAAGCCATTCTCATCTCCCCGTATTCTTTTTCTTCTTTTTTTGTGCTGATGCTGATGCTTGTGGGAAATTCCCAGTCATGGTTCCCGGCCAGGATTACACGCTCCACGTTCCTGTACTAGGAGAAAGTCAGCGGGGTCAATTGCCTGCTCATCCTAACATCTCACCGGCGAATGACTGGGCGCTCCCTGCGCCAAGCGACTGGCAACAGCCCAATGGTCTCACGCCACCTGGGGAAGACGGGCATTACAACAACGTAGAAAACGGTCTCTACTGGCTCTGGGACACCACATGGAATGGGCTGTGAATAAACGTTTCTAAACTTGTTACACGGTGTATCTCTCTATCTCAAAGTTCCATGGTCGCCATAAAAAGAAGTCACCCGCACCGAAACCCAGCTTCTACGCTTCAACAGCATCGGCTGTTTCTGCGTCCACCTCCGGTCCATATATGACACTCTTGATTCCTATCCTGTTTGCCACATTCTGGAATGCCTCCTCGACCTGCGAGAAGGAGTATTCGTGAGTGACAAGGCCGTCGACATTGACACGTCGGGCGTCAAGCAGTCCTATGGCGGTTCGGAAGTCTCCAGGGCCGTAGCGGAAACTGCCCTTCAGGGTAACCTCTTTATCGCAGATTTGGCCAATGGGAACGGTGACACTCGGTCTACCCAAGCCGACCTGGATGAAGGTTCCTCCTGGCGTGACCGCGTGTAGACCACAGACAAGGCAAGGCTCCGCCCCCGTTGCGTCCAAGATCACATCTGCGCCGTCTTCGAGTCCCGCCGCTCTGAGAAGGTCGGCCGCATTCACCTCAGGCGATGCGTCACTCATTTGGTATGTATGTGTGGCTCCGTACTTTCCAGCGACCGTAAGCCGACTGGAAACAATATCAACCGCAACGACGGTAGATGCACCAAAGGCACGGGCAACAGCACAGCAGAGGAGTCCAACCGGGCCCGCGCCGAAGATGATGACAGACTTGGTTTGCATATCTCCTGCGAGCCGACAAGCATGCACTGCGACACTCAACGGCTCAACCAGTGCGCCCTGACGCAGTGAAATGTGAGCGGGAAGCTTGAAACAGCACTCGACCGGGACGCGGTAGTATGTGCAAAGTGTCCCGTCAATCGGCGGCGTCGCTGCAAATCGCATGTCACGGCACAGATTATAACGTCCCCTGCGACACGGCTCGCACGTATTGCAGGCGACGCCAGGCTCTAGGGCAACGCGGTCTCCCACGGCGATCCCTTCAGCTTTGCTGCCGCAAGAGACCACGATTCCTGTTGACTCATGGCCCAGGATGATTGGTTGCTCTACCACATAGCGACCGATTCTTCCATGTTGCCAGTAATGTACCTGTTGAAAAAATGACACATTAACTCCGAATTGACTCACCAGTGTCAAGAGGATCGAAGTCAATACTCACGTCGGAGCCGCAGAGCCCGGTTGCGACAATTTTCACAATGACATCCCTTTCGGACTGTACCTCTGGTGCCTTGCGGGTTTCGTAGTAAAATGAGCCGCCTGGTTTGAGCACGGCAGCTAAACTTGCGTCCTTGAATTGAAGGATTAGTGACCCAAATTTGGAAGCTTTAGAGACAGTACCAGTGACATTCATGGAATCGCCTACCTGAGTCGAATCTGCAGCAATCATGTTTCCAAGCCTTGAGCAATTCAAAGGTCAGATTTATGAAGATCTGCTAATCTGTCCCGGCTCCTCTCTGTCTTTTATTATACCTGCCGGCAGGTTGTGTCCATAAACCAGAGGCGCACTGACTCGATTCCGGCGGAGCAGTGCAGCTTCGGTTCCGGCTTTCCTAACAATGATTGCATTGCTGATTGCTGATTCCCCGCATCGACCGACCATCGATTAGAGCTAGTAAGACATCAAAACGAGGATCTTCCCCGGTCGGCTTCGTCCCCACCTTCATAATTATTTCTTCTTCTCGTGGCGGTGGTCTCGACACCGATTTCTTCGGGTTCTAAGACCTATCCGCCTAGCTTGTCTCTCAATGCCTGGTCAGACTTGCTTCCTGTTAGTGATAAGCGAGGGGCGATTCCGATCCCAGACAGGAAAAACTCTCCTTCTCGGATTGCTGTCATCCAACGCTGAGCAAGCTCTGTTCCGTACGGATTTTGTCCCGACGCGAGTTATCCGGGCCGGTGTTAACAGCTCTCTTGGGCAGGAGCTCATTGCTGAGCATAGTGGGTCCGGAACCGAATTCCTGGTCAGGCAAGTCAGCATCCGCCGGAACCGAGTGTGCAAATCCGCCAGGGACTACACAATGCGCCCTGAATTGATATAGCATCAGAGCGAAAGCAACATACAAATGGCTGTCTATGACCTGACTTGAAGTGTGGAGTGTTTGCCGTCATCTCTTCTGGGGATGTATGTACCAGACTTGCACGTGACCTCCGCATCACGGCGGCGTACCAGGGAGACACTGCAGGCAATGGCCGGGTTGTCTTCTCCCAGCTCGATGATTCGCCGAAGAATTTACCATTGGTGTGGCCAGTGTTCAACTTTGCCTTCGTGCCGACCGTGTGTCTTTTCTACTCGGAGACAGCCCACCGGTCGCTGGATTATCTTGATCGCTTTTTTCAAGATAGCAATGGTGTCCTTGTTCAGAATGTGCCAGAGACCATCGGGGTCGAACGACTGCTCCGGTATGTTGTGCCGGAAAATTAACGGCTCCAGCTCGTTACGACTGTCACGGGCGCTAAGATTGGGGCTGGTATGATGGAGCATAAGGAGCATGCTTAAAGACTGGCTTCTGCCAGGTCAGGTAGTGGTACGCCAAGCTCATACTTCAACGGCTGCCATCTCAGCGGCATACACAGGATTACATTCTTATTTCGAAGGCAGATGGCAGAAAAAGATATTCAAATCAATATAAAAGGTTATGATTTCATTTCACGATGAACGGGATAAAAAGAGAGTCACCTCAACGAAACAGCGAGTGAACCAAGCCTGGAGGCGACTGACATCAAGCCTCACTTCCAAACATGACCCTCCATCTTCAAGTACTCGAAACTCTCAGCCTGCTCCACCACCTCATCCTCGTCATTCTTCAGGAGCCCCTGGTCGAACAGATCAGCACCAAATTTCCACGGCTTGCGACACGCCGGGCAATGCATAGGTATCCTGAATTTATAGTCGGTACCCCATTCAATCGCACCGTGCCGGTTCCAGGCGCACTCCAAGTGGAAATAGGCGGTGCAGCCCTCGCAGCACAGGTCCACGTGCGGGTCGGCGCGCTCGCAGGTGTCGCACGCCGCATCCGCGGGCTTGTTAGCTGGGTTATTGATCTTGCGCGCTAGGACGCGGCGGCGGGCCTGCTCGGCGGGCTGCAGGCAGTCCCAGTTGCGGAAGTCGTTGCTGGAGAAGACTTCTTCGAAGCTGCGGTGCTTCTTGATCTGCTCCAGGGTCGGACATCCCAGCTGCGTGCGCCAGGGGAAGAAAATGATCGTGCCTGGCTTCGGAGTGTCGTCGCCGGTACTCTGCGGCGTGAGGATTGCGGGGTGGCCGTCGCTGTCGCTTGACTCATTCTCGCTGTCGGTCTGCTGGGGCGTGAGAAGGACGCCCCCGTCTTCACTGCTGAACCCGGTTCCGTCGTCGGATGTCTGCGTCGCAGCATTGGATGTTGAGGGGGTCGGCACGCGAGACCCAGCGTCAGATGCCTGAGGAGCTGTGGCAGGCTCGCTGGCCGCACTAAGGCGGGCGAGATCCTTTTTCAGCTCGCTGTAGGCGCGGAAACGGAAGTAGGGCATCTTGAAGCTGAGTTGGGGAGGTGAAGTCGGGTGACGGTGAAGGTGAAGGTGGTCGATGGTTGATTGTTGATGGTGATGATGGCGATATTTCCAACTAATTTATACGCAGCAGCACGGGAATATAGAGCCCTCCACAACAAAGAGCTGACAATGCCCATTGTATCAGGGATGGAGTATAACAACCGGTCTCCAGGAGTAACAACGAATGGCCATAGTTCAGGTCTGGTACCTGACCGAAGAAGTACTTGCAGGGTCTTTGTTTCGTGACTGAAGACTGTTTACCTTCATTGATCCATTGCACCGATCTTCTTATACTGGAATAACAGTCTCATCAATCCTCATCCGTTCATTATGCAGATGTAAGCACCAAGCACCCCCTTGTTTTCGCTTTTTCGTCTCCACCATCACGCTGAATCAAATCACAAAGCATCTCAACCAGTTACTTACACACTCCATCCTCTGCCCTCATCTTGCCCGTCGCCCCTAATCCCCTCCAGAACCTATTTCGGATCATGCGCAACAACCTCAATCTCAACGCGCATATCATCCTCGCCCAGCCGCGTGACCCCAACGCAGGTCCACAGGGGCTCGTGGTCGGGCATCCACTTCTTGAAGTTCCGGACCATGGCGTCCAGCGCCTCGTTGTTGATGGGCACGTGATACGAATTCACCCGGAACACCTGGCTCCAGCCCTTCCCGCCGGCGGTCTTCAGGTTCAGGTCCACGTTCGCGAAGGCCTGGTCGATCTGCGCGTTGATCTCGCGGTGGATCTCGCCGGTCTGGGGGACCCAGCCGCCTGTTTATCCAGAAAATTTAGCACTGCATTGTGTATGCAAGATGGTGAGGGAAGGAGAGGGCCTACCCTGGCCGGAACATTCGATGCGGTCGCCGATGCGGACGGCCTGGCTGTATTTGAAGGTTTGTTGGTTGCGCTTGCCGACGCCGTCGTAGTTGTAGTAGGTGAGGTGGGACATGATGCCTGATTAGGGGTGTATATGTGTGGGCGTAGAGGGAATGTTAAGTCAAGGGGGGTCTTAAGGTTAAGGTGAATTGGGAATTGGGCGAGGTTACATGCGACGACGGTTGGGGTTTTATAGAGTTCCCGGGGCGGGTTAGAAATAGCGGAATATATGTTCCGCGAGGAGGGAATGACCCTGAGGGGATGAAGTCATGGATGATGTTCTCTCACTTTCTGTCTGTCTCAGATCGATGACTCTTTCTGTCTTCTCTCTCTAGATAAACAAACAAAGCTCATTCTAGTGCAAAGGAATAGAGCCTGCCAAGCTCTCTACTTCGTGAAGTGTCCAGATTGTCAACTTACATGTGGGAACTTGCGCCACGCAGCATTGTCTAAGTGCAGTACTGTACCTAGACTCAGCTTCCAAGATTGGTTGAAGTCCGACTTCCTAGGTATATTCCCAAATATACTATTGTCCATCAATCTACATGTCCATGATGTATATATTTAGAATCTGAGAATCACTGCAAAGCCAAGCACCAACCCAGCCAGCCCGTCTAATCATAATCACGTGACCCAGAGTCATGAGTAATCGACTCGCGCCTTCAAGGTTGGCCCATAGACTAACCTGTTTAGAAGCTAGTGGCTGGCGGTGACCACCTCCCCCGACCGCCCGGAGATATACTGCCGGCGGACCGCATTCGGCGCCAGCCAGCTCCGCCCGGTGGTTCCTCGTTCTTCTTTCCATCCCCCAGCCTTGGAATCATTCAATTATTCGCAACTGAGATCTGAACCACACTCTTTTACTTTCCTGCTCTTTCATCCAGTTCCATCCACTCCCTCATCCATAAACACCTTTTCTAACACTCAATTGCACCCATCCAGCACCAGCATCTATACCCTCGACCTCATCACCCCAATCCCAACCCATCACTCGTATCCTACCCTTGCGACTCCGCGACACTAATCAGCCATAGTAAGCTCCGCCCAGCATCAACGCCCCCAACAAAGACCACCCTCACTAACACCCAATCACCGCAGCTACCCCCCACAAATCCCTCAACCGCAAACCCCCAAGACCAAAAAAATGTCCATCCGCACTCTCTCGGACACCGACTTCGAAGACAGCACGCTGAAGCGCGCGCGCACGGACCCGACCGCGCACCGGCTCTGCTACGACTGGATGATCGTGCAGGGCAACTGCCACTACGCGCGCGACCGCGCCGCCTTCACGAGCTACCGGCCCGTGACCACCGTGCGCCTGCAGACCAACATCTTCAACCCGATGGAGGAGCTGGAGGTGGCCGGCGTCGGCACGGTGGAGATACCTGTGATGCGGTCGCTGACGGACCCCACCAACCCCAACCACAACCACAACCCGTTCGACAACACCCAGTCCAGCACCAACACGCACACCCTCGTCCTCGAGAACGTCCTGCACATCCCCGAGGCCGTCTGCAACGGGTTCAATCCGCTGCTGTACGGGAGCAGCATGTCGTGCACGGCCGAGAGCTGGACGGGCGCGGATCGCGCGGGCACCCCGCTGTGGGTGGCGACCCCCTTCGCGGGCGGGTCGCGGCTGGTGCTGGCCGGCGCGGCGGCGCAGCTGCAGCGCCAGCAGGGGGTGTCGGAGCTGATTGCCGGGCGGTATTATACGCTGAGTTTGTATATCAGTCCTGCGGAGAAGGCGGAGTTGATGGGGTAAAGATGGGGAGAGGTGGTTTGCCGCAGAGATGAGAAACGAATTGTGGCAAACTAGGGAGAAAAGGGAAGGGTGAATCCTGTTGGGGCGAGGCAGGAGGCAACATGACAGGTGACTGATGTTGGTCTGTACTGTACAATATATTATGATACCTATGATAGAATATAGCAAAAAAGCAATACGATACGATTCCGGATAAGTCAAGCGAGATGCATGGCGAAAAAAAAAAGCATGGCATGGCATGGCATGGCATGCCTGCCCCTCCGTCGGGGGTCGGATGGACACGTGGAAGAGCGGCAGTCGGAAGAGCTTCACCCAGCTCGATCGATGCCATGAGATGGGATACGGAAAGAATTCCCAATAACCTCCTGCAGTAGCTTGGGCGCTTAAACGGTCCGGTCAATTCGATTGTGGATCGAGTGACTGGGAAAGAGCGTCTGTGCGAAAGGTCAGTCAGTCACTCAGTACTCAGTGAGAGAGTGTTTGGAGGCGATTCACTGATCATCCCGGGGTCTAATTTAGGGCTCGATCCCAACTTGACGCCATGTGGGCAGCAAAAACCGCGGGGAAAGTGAAAGTGAATGAAAGGGGGGATATACCTCAGCACACTATAGTTCGACCCAACCACTCGCTTAAGACCCTGAAATCCAGTTCACATGTGTCTCCATGCGTCCTTAGGACGGAGTCGAGGGCCGAGAACCTACCAGGAAAGAAAGGGTCTAATCTCGCATCTCGTGTGTCGAAGTGCGTCTAATCCCCATGGGGTCTTGTCTCGTCCGGCTGTTCGGCCCGTGGCCCGTCTGTCACGCAAAGCACCACCAAACACACCCAGAAGCCACCCAATGTGACTCAATCTTGCCCCAACCAACCTTTTTTTCCAATCCAATATCTAGCGAGATGGCAAATGACAAATGGCTGATGGCAGATGGCAAACCCAACGATCGTGTTTCCCTGCGGCAGTCCGGCCCAGACTGCCACTGCACACACCCTCTCTTGCCATTCGGGCATCCCCAGCTTCCCCGGATTCATCTAATCCCGTTTGGATACGGGGTCTCATCCTTGCTGCAATTAGCCCGCCACTCAGCCTATTCTTTGCGAGTCCCTGTCCCTGTCCTATCACAGCGCCTCCTCCCCAGCAAATTTTCCGCGGCATCTGGTGACAGGAAGGGACTATAGTCAGACATGCAGCAATACCCAGTCTTACCATGCCATGCCACCACCCCTCGCGCGCCCGCCAGCCCGCCCTCGCTTCAATTTTCGATGGTATATATGAGCTCCTTGATTTCCGCTCGAGAGTCCGGTTTCTCCTTTTGTTTTTTTTTGTTTCTCAGGTCAGCTTTGAACATCAATTCGAAAGATTGTCTTCCGGAAGCTCTCTCACACCATGTCTGAGAAACATACGGCGGAGGTCTCCCACCTGGACTCGTCCGAGGTCCAGGTCAAGGGGGTCCACAATGCGGCGTTGGCGGTGGCCACCATCCAGCAGAAGCCCAGTCTGTGGAGCAAGAGCATGCTTAAGGTATGTCACTCGGTGATGTGGTGCGTGGGCGGGCGTTGTGGGTGCTAACGGACAGTTAGCTGTACTGCTGTATCGCGGTCGCCATGCTCAACTCCTGCATCAACGGTTACGACGGTTCCCTGATGGGCTCGATCAACAGTTATCCCCAGTACCGCGATTATTTCGGGTTCGACCCGGACGCCGGTACCCCCTCGACCGGTATTGTGTACGCCATCTATACCATCGGAAACATCGTCGGATCGTTCACGGCCGGTCCCTTCACTGATTTCAAGGGTACATTCTTCTTTCCCCATTCCTTTGGGTCTGATTACGGAACCAAGGCTCTGACAGGCGTACAATAGGGCGACGAGTCGGCATGGCGATTGGCGCCATCTTCATCATCATCGGAACCTGCGTGCAAGCCTCGTGCCACAACCTGGGCGGATTCATGGGCGGCCGCTTCCTGCTGGGATTCGGCGTGGCGACCTCGGCCACGGCCGGACCGGCCTACGTGTCGGAGATGGCCCACCCGGCCTACCGCGGTGCCATGACGGGTCTGTACAACGTGCTGTGGTTCGGGGGTGGTATTCCGGGCACCTTCATCCCCTGGCGCACCAGCCACATCCAGAGCGACATGAGCTGGCGGATTCCGATCTGGCTGCAGATGGTGTTCTCCGGGCTGGTGTTGTGTTTCGTTTACTTCCTCCCTGAGGTAGGTCTCTAATGGTTATCAGTGCCGTGAAGACAAGGGGCTAATCGTGTCCAGTCCCCCCGTTGGCTCATGTCCCACGACCGCCACGAAGACGCCCTCAACGTGCTGGCCGAATACCACGGCGAGGGCGACCGCAACGCTCCGATCGTGCAGCTGGAATACCGGGAGATGATGGAGGACATTTCCAAGACGGGATCCGACAAGCGCTGGTGGGATTACCGCGAGCTGTTCAACACGCGCGAGACGCGGTATCGGTCCATGCTGGTGATCTTCATGGGTGAGTATTTCCAGAGTTCCCTCACCCTAGCCACCGCAACTGACATCTGTTCGCACACAGCTCTCTTCGGCCAATGGTCCGGCAACGGCCCCGTCAGCTACTACTACCCGCAGATGCTCCGCGGCGCGGGGATCACCAGCAACAACACGCAGCTGCTGCTGCAGGGCCTGCAGAACGTGGTGTCGCTGATCGGGGCGGTGTCCGGGGCGCTGCTGACGGACCGCTTCGGGCGGCGGCAGCAGCTGCTGGTGTCGACCAGCCTGGTGGTGGTGCTATTCATCATCGTGACGGCGCTGAACGCGACCAACGTCGTCGACGGGCCCGACGGCACCCCGACCGCCAAGAGCGGCATCACCGCGCGCGCCCAGATCGCCATGATCTTCATCTTCGGCTTCGTCATCTCCGCCGGCTGGACCCCCAACCAGGCCATGTACCCCGTCGAGTGTCTGCGGTACGAGTCCCGCGCCAAGGGCATGGGCATGAACAACGTAAGTTCTTCTTGACTGGCCGTCTTCCCGTGGAAATCTTTTAATAACAGACGAACAGTTCTTCGTCAACATCGCCTCCTTCTACAACACCTTCGTCACCGGCATCGCCTTCACCCGCGCCGGCTGGAAGTACTACTTCCTCTTCATCTTCTGGGACACCCTCGAGGTCATCGTCATCTACTTCCTGTTCGTCGAGACCAGCAAGCGCACCCTCGAGGAGTTGACCGAGATCTTCCAGGCCAAGAACCCGGTCAAGGCCTCGCTGAAGCGCGATGAGGTGCTCGTGTCGGGCGGGGAGGCGACGCAGATCACCAAGGAGACGGAGGCGTGATACGCTTGGGGGGTGGGTTGACTGAGGGGTAGTGGAGGAGTAATGGGAGGCTTCTGGGTTGTTGGAATGTTTGGATGTTCGCTGTGGCAGTCGATTATAACTTATCATTAATAAGGAAGGTGCTGCTGCTGCTGCTGCTGCACCGTCCGATGTGGCCACTGCTTTTGCTCCCCTCTACGTTGAAAATCAAGTAAGCTTCATGCCCAGCGGATACTTACTAGGTAGTTATCTACTCCGTGATTGGGAGTGATTTATTCAGCCTCAGTGGTCACGTATCTTATCGCTGATACTTTCAGATAACCACCTACATAAGATATACTAGTACATGGAGGTTAGTACGTACTACCCTAGGTAGTGCTGTACTCCGGAGTAGTAAAGATGAAAAGGTCCCCAATCGGGCATGTATCGGTCTTCTCGACTGGGCATGAAGAATGTTATACTAGGTATGGTAAGACGGAATGGAGCTTTGGGCACCGGTTGATTCTGTGAGTTCAGTATGCTGGACTTCTTTGTACTGTACTATTCTAAGCATAATACACTATACGTTAACTTGAGTATACTCTGTACAGAAAAACAGACACCGCAGCCTACGGAAAACCCTTGCGGCCACTCGGCAAATCGTAAGAAATCTGCCGGTAAAATCATATACACCAAAATTAAATCTATACATAAACTCTAACAATTCTAATAGAAAAGAATAATTTATAGTATTTCCTAATAATAAACCCTAATAACAATACCCTCGGCCTTTAAAAAATCCTAAATACCCTGATATAAAAAGAGGCCAATCTGATTATATAATTAAACAGCTGTTGAGGCGCTTCAGAGAAGCCGGGGTGTTAATAGCTAAAAATTAAAGACTACACCCGAAAGACGGGGGGAAAAAGGGAGGAATACACGGGCTGGTTTATACTAAAAATTTTAATAGGCGGTAACTGCTGCAGTAAGAATACTTAATCAGAAAAGTTCCATTTGCCGAGTGGCCTTGCGTCTAGTCACGTGAGGCTAGGCCCAGTCCAACACCCCCAAAACACGGCACCCGAACTCCTTATAACTACCTAGTTATTAAACAATATTCCAAGGCTTGTTCATCCCCCTTGCCCCGTTATGAGCTGTAATGCTGAAAGGCCATGCTCCCACCACACGTTCTTGTTCCATGTATCATGACTGATATATGAGCTATGAGCTTTGACCTACTAAGAACGGACTCTTACTATTATCTCCTTTGCCTTCCAACCGACCCAATCTATTTCTCTCGCCAAATGTCAGTCACTCATAGCCCACCATGTCTACTACAAGCAAACATGGGGCAGACTCACTCCGTCCGCGTCGCCTCCAGTCCTTGAAAGTCTCAGCTTATTCTCAACTATCCTGGAGTGCTCTTAATTGCATCGGGTCAATGCGCGACCAAGCTCCCAGATCAATGCAGCCGGATTCAAACTCTCCTCAACCAGACCCCATCCATCTCTTCCGCTTTGGAGGTTCCTGACTCTATCGTGGGAAATGTTTTGGTCCTAGAAGGCCATTCTAGGTGGTCTGTCTCTCCGCGTTCTCGGCGGATGGGTAGCGAATGCGCTCTGGATGCCAGCAAAGTTTCCTGTCCCCGACGCGCGTATATTGGGGTGTCGCGCCCGAGCATGTGTGTGTTGTCCGGGGAATTCATTCCCCAATGGTCCGGCTTCCAATCTTCAGCGCAATCCTCTGGGAATTATCTAGCACTCTGTGTTCTAGGCTGGTCGTACGTCCTCTCTGCTCGACTGATAGAGCTGCGGCGCACGACGCCCGCCGATAGTATCGCCTATACAGACGCCGTGGTACAGTCGCCCGAGATGACGACTGCCGGCTCGAATGAGCTTTGCAGCCTACAGCTGGGCGACCTTTCATCGGCAGAGCTGCGCTGGTGGGCTGCCATTCTGGCAGGCGGGCGTGGATGGCACGCGACGCTGAACCGAGATGAAAAGGAATATTTCTCTCCGTGGGAGTGCCATCTTGCCGATAACTGCTTCACACTGTTGCACTCACGCACTCGGTCCCCAATCCCCAGCGACCTAACACCCCCGTCGTCAGTAGAAGCGCAAGCATACCTTGTGAGTTTCGCACGATCGCATGGTTGCTTGGATCAACTACTGGCTGCTTTTGCAGCAGCCATCACTCTACCTTCACACCTTCGGTTCGGTGCGCCAATCACATTGCCAAAGCCTGTCCAAGGCCCTTCCGAGCGCGCAAGTCAGAAGATTGAAAGATTTTAAGCGGATCGGCTACCGACTGTGGATGATCTTGCTCGTTTCATGACTCTCTCGTGCATGGCAAATATTGTTTCCTCTTCTGCATCGGCGTGCTTTTGGGAACCGAGCATCCCGTGCAATTTAGTGAGCGAATGGCTGAACCCTCCACTTAAAGAGCTTTTACCCCATCTCATCCGACGACAGAGATACGACGCTATTGTATGCACCTTGTCGTATCGCAGGCCAAAGCTCGCATCCCTGTGGCTTGGGGCGACGATCTCGGGCTTGCTTCCCCGGATACTTCAGGTCTGCCGGTCGCACTTGCCACCGACAGCGTCGGAAGCGGCCGTGTGGACAAGGTCCCCTCAGTCGTTCATGGATCCTGAATATCACGGCCATACTTTGGCGTTCGATGCCTCCAACCGTAAGGGACCATATCACGCGCAGACGAGCTCCGTCTTTTGTATCTGACCGACACCGACTCAAAGGTTTACGGGCCTCCGCCCCTGAGCCCCTACCCTCCGTTCGGCCGTGTGAGACTCGAGAACACACCAATCGAAGTTCGGATGCACGCTGGGTGTGGTCACGAGCTGCGTTATGTCTCATGGATCTGGAAAACGCAGAACAGGACCGACTTGACCGACTACGGCGGCTGTGCTCGCTCTAAAGCTTCCACGACCAAAATTCCTTTTCCTTTTGCATCTCAGTGGTCACTTGCCAGTCTCGCAACGCTCGCCTTGGGCTTAACGTCTATAAGCCTTCGCAAATATTACCCAAGGGTGAGTTCTGGAGCAGATAACAGGATGGAGCCCTACACATCCCGCTTGCAAGATGGTGTCTAATGATGACGCAGGCTCTGGTCAAAGCCGTATGGATTCCTTTATGCGGAGCGTGGACCATGTTGTGCTTATCACCTGACCGGCCTTTGCTTACTCCTTGGTATCCGTGTTGGGTTCGGTGATCTATAAGACCCTCCGTGGTTTGTTACTTTCACCGTGGACCGATGATTGCAAAGCATCTGCCGATGACCGGTTGTCGGCATCGGCCACTCGCGTCGTTTTCGTTTGGGGGTTCTTCCCAGACGGAACCAGACCTGAGGATAGAGAGTTGTGGGACCATGAATGGCTGAACCTTTACCTTCATCGGGGCGATGATTTGTCTTCAGGCTCCTCCCCGTCTGCCAGCGATTCGGCTCACAAACAGGGTCACGATCTTGTCGAAGAATGGCTCGATGAGATACCGGAATCTGCCTATCATTGATCTCAAGGCTGAGCCGAGGCGCTGCGGTCGCGTGCATACGGGGAGCGTATCGCCCGACCCCATGCCTCATTCTCGGACATTTCCCAAATGACCATGACCTAGATCATCCCTGAAGATAGGATAATTAGTGGAGACCATCCAGAAGAAGGACGCTTCTCCTGAGCGCCGCTCTCTACCTTCGGTCATAAGCCTACCTTATCTTGCTCGGCGTACCAACGGCGCTTTCTTAGGTTTGACTCGGTTCTTGGACTTGGCGCAGCAGCCAATCACTCGCCTACCATCGGGTTCAGATGGAAGTATACAGATACCTCCCAGGTATGGACGACCAGCGGCGGCTGGCTTAGCTGATTGGCGGCTTGGTAGTACGTACATCTGCCAAGAAGGAACTTGTTAGCCAGCGGTTATTGGGTGAGTAGGGGAGAGACCACGCATACAGATTCCATCATCCATGTGCCATGGTCGATTGGGGAAAACCGAAATCCCATCCCCCCTCCCCCTCCGAATAAAAGTGAAATGTAAAGGAAGCGGGTGGGACGAATCCCATATAGGCATCAACCCTCCCCCCGTACCGAAGTGTCTCAACCAGATCATTAACCCAGAATCCCCAACAGGGTAGAACTATGAGTGGTGGGGGTGTTGTAGTATCCTGCCGGAAAGCGGCGGGTTTCTCCTCTCTCTACAACCTCGAGATTTTGAGGTGAAATTGAGGGATAAGGTGTCGGTTTGCTGAATGCAGAGAGGCTCCCAGTTGGTTTTCTCGAGGGCGACTCGAATCCGAGCGGCCGGGGAAGGTATGTCCACTCTTTACACTCTCATTGCTCTGAAGCCATATCGTCATCGTGGGGTCTTGTCGATCTGGTGGGGTCACGTGACTGCGTCGCCGGACTCGGGTCTTTTGGAGTAAGTTAGTAGTGGCTATGGGGTGTGACTGGCAGTAAGCAGTTGTCTTAAGTTCTTATGGTGCTCGATGGCATCAGCCTGGGCTAGTGGTCTTGTCACTCCGCCACAACCACGTCCCAGAGGCCATCGTGCTGTTCCTCTCACACAATGTAGCGAGCTAGATGCATAACATTTAGATGCATTGGCTACAACTCTATAGCCGGAAGACATAAGTAACCCATCTACAAACCCAGAACCAACAATCTATAGAAGATCATAACAACCATCCCGGAGTGGAATCAAAACACCGTGGACCTGCCAACTCCCCCCCGGCCCCGGCCACCAAGACGACCCAGCTCAATTGCTCGTAATAATCAACTCCTGGACGACATGAATCCCCCCTTCTGCCCCCGTCGTCCGCCGACCCTCCGCATCCACCGCCGCCAGCATGATCTGCTCATCACTGACCGTCGCCAACTGCGTCCACTGCGTATCCGGCAACGACAAGGGGTGCCGGAACTTCTTCTTCCGGGACTGCGAATGCGCACTGAGGCTCGGATGCTCTCCTGCCGAAAGGGGATACCCGGACCCCCCGGGCCCCGGCCCAGTCGTCGTGCTTCCGCCCTTCGCGTTGAAGCTGTGGGATGACCAGTAGCTGCCCGCCCGTTTCACCATCCGGCGACACACGGGGTAGATCATGGGGAGGTTGCCGATGAGGACGGCGACGAAGGTCTCGCGGCAGGCCCAGCTGCCGGCTTGCGAGGCGCCGTTTGCGCCGGCCTTTGGTTTTTTTGTTTTCATTAGCAAGGCATTTTCGTCGTTCATTTGAAAAGACGGAGGGGGGGGGATCAGACGTCACTCCACGGAAGAATCAATCAAGTAAGGGGTGTTTTTTCTTTTTCACGCACCGTGACAATCAACACACACCGCAGAATCCCCGCCGCCATGACGAATAGCCCGCCGCTGAACAACACCACCAATTCGAGTTTCTCTCGCCATGGGAGACGGGCTTTGAAGAGGATCTATCCCATAACGCGATTAGCTTTGATCCCGAGCAAGAACCAAAACATTGGTCGGGATCTTTCCGAGAAGGTGGGAGGGAGCGTACAGGGAACGGAATCGAAATCAAATACACATCCGTCACCACATTCAGCGTCACCGTGACATACACATCGATCTGCGAGACGGCCGGCTGGCAATAGTTCCCGGGATCCGGGTGGATCTGCCAGTTCCTGTGGAGCGGACGACACCCCAGCAGGATACTCAGGATGACCGCGAGGTAGGTGCCGGCGATGAAGACGTAGGCGAGGCGGATGCGACGGGCCATGTTGTACAGCCCAGCCCTAGATTGTGGGGGGTCAATCGAACAGCCAAAAGACGAGACACCAATCATCCCGTCCAACCAAGAAACGCAGAGACGTACGTACGTCAGTCTCGCATAGAACACCGCCATGCACGTCTTGAGCAACCACAGCAAAGTGGTGTACAGCGACCATCCCAGCACCTGGGTCTTGGAGCCCCCGACGCGGAGCCGGTACTCTTCGGACTGCGGCGAGAGCGCCGCGCGCTGGGCGGCGGTCATCGCGTTGTTGGCGAGGCCGTGCCACCAGGCGCTGACGCAGTAGGCGGCGCCGGTTTCGAGGGCGTACACTACCTGCCAGCAATAATATTGGTTAGAGGGTGGGCATCGACCGATAGGGTTTTGTGTGGTTGTTGTGAAAGGGGGGGGGGGGGGGGGGGGTTTGGGGCAGTAAGCAGCCAAGCTGGTCGGTAGGTAAGTAAGACGTACCCCTGCAACCGGCATCAAATAATCATCCAATGCGAAGTTCTTAGGCCCCGCCGTAATCCACCGGGCCGCGATGCGGCAGGCAATGGTCAGAATGGCAATGGCCAGGAGGGTAAAAGCCTCAATGACGAACTCGTCAGCCATGAAGCCGGGAAAGGGAAGGAAGCAGAAAACAAAAAGAAGGGCAAAAGAAAGTCGTCTGTGGAACCATTCTGAAGCAAGGCAGATCAGATCGGGGGAAGAGAGAGAGAGGGGGGGGGGTTATTATGTATAAGACAGGTTTTATCAGGGGAAGAGACAGAGAGAGGGATTTGCATCATCATCTGTGCATTTTTTTTTTGGTTTCGTTGTTTGCTCTTTGCTTCTATGTATCACTTTTTTCCCCTGGACAGCAAACACAAATGCCGACTCGTCAATCGGGAAAGACAAACGCAGAACCCGCATACGTAGGAAGGATGGACGGACATGGGCTCCACTTTTCCCCGTCCTGGTACTTCTTGCAGGTTGGGTCACTACGGAGTACGTAGCAAGAGTACCGTTTTCCTGCAGAACAGAACAGGGAAGTGGACAATGGGCAAGGCACAACAAACACACTACAAAAGAGACTACGGACCGTTTGGTGCCCCATGTCCGATGAACCGGTGGTCCCCCTGGGGTTAGAACAGGGGGGAAGCCCGACTGCCCCCGAGAGGGGGCACTGTGACACCAGTGGCCAGTGGCTAACTTAGTAGACAGGAAGTGGGCCCACGGCATGGCTTGTGGCATGGCTTGTGGCATGGCTTGTGGCATGGGGTGTGCCGCCTGTCAGACCGTTGCTTCAGCGGATGAGCCGAGCTGTCATCTCCATTCAATGGTGGAGCCAACGGGCGACATTCACTGTTCGTTAACCCTAAGCGGTGTTAGTGGGTGAATCGATCCCGCCACAACAACGCCGGTGCAACCTCCGTCTTTATTGCGATCATCCACTTTCCTTGTTCGTGCAATAATGTAAGGAGGAAGAAGGAAGGGGAGGGAGAAGACGGAGATTAAAAAAAACTGCCACCGATCGGCACGTTATCTGTCAGGCATTTCCCCTCCGAGCTCTCCTCCCCTTTCCAAGGCTATTTTTATTCTTTCTTCCTTCCCTTCCGCCCGTTTCTTTTCTTTTTTTCGGCATTCCATCCTATTGCCGGTGGCTGCTATCATGATGGAGTCAGTGGATGTGACAATCATCGGCGCAGGTAAGGTTGCATGCATCATGCATTTGCGTTCATCTTGAGCACAAACTCATACTGATCTACACTCCACAGGCTGGAGCGGCCTGGCTGCCCTCAAGACCTATCACCAAGTCCATCCCAATGCCTCCATCCTCCTCCTCGAGGCCGCCGACACCGTTGGAGGCGTCTGGGCCCAGCACCGCCTGTACGAGGGCCTCAAATCCAACAACATGCGGGGCACCTACGAGTTCAGCGACTTTCCCCTCGACGATTCCTACGGTGTCGCGCCGGGCGAGCATCTCCCCGGAGCGGTGATCCAGAAATACCTCACCGACTTCGCAGAGCACTTTCACCTGACACCACACATCCACCTCCGACGACGCGTTCGCACCATCCAGCACGAGCCCGACACCACCTGGACCTTGACCGTCGACCATCTCGACCCTGAAACCCCCGATGCGATCACCGAAACCTCGACCCTACACACCAGCAAGCTCATCCTCGCGACGGGGATCACCTCGCAGCCCTACCTCCCCGACTTCCCCGGCCAGGAACAATTTACCCCACCATTATTCCACATCAAGGACCTCCGCCACTACCAGGGCCAGATCTTCGCTCCCCCGCCATCAACCACCTCCCCGCCCGAAGACACCAACACCAACGAGAGCATCGTGATCTTCGGCGGCACCAAGTCCGCCTGGGACGCCGTGTACGCCGCCGCGACGACCACACCCTACCAAGTGGACTGGATCATCCGGTCGACCGGCCACGGCCCGGTCTGGATGGCGCCGCCGTACGTGACGCCGCTGAAGAAATGGCTGGAGAAGCTGGTGACCACGCGGCTGCTGACGTGGTTCAGCCCGTGCATCTGGGGCGCCGCGGGCGACGGCTGCTCCACCGTGCGCTGGCTGCTGCACGGCACCTGGCTCGGCCGGAAGGTCGTGGACGCCTTCTGGTGGGTGCTGGGGAACGACGTGCTCACGCTGAACAACTACGCCGCGCACCCGGAGACCCGCAAGCTGGTGCCCTGGATCAGTCCCTTCTGGATCGCCAGCGGGCTGAGCATCCTCAACTACCCGACGGACTTCTTCGAGCTGGTGCGCCGCGGGCGCGTGCGGGTGCATGTGGACGAGGTGGCGGGCCTGTCGGACCGGACGGTGGCGCTGGGGGCGGGCCGGCGGATTGAGCAGGTCCGCGCGCTGGTCTGCGCGACCGGGTGGAAGGCCAAGCCGGAGATCCAGTTCGTGCCGGCCTCCCTGGAGCAGGAACTGGGGTTGCCCGAGGCAGAGGACTGCGTGCCCCGCGAGGTGGTGCGGTGCGCCGACCACGAGATCCGACGACGGTTCCCCCGCCTCCAGCGTCCGCCCCCCATGGTCAAGGGATACAGGCCCCTCGCGGCCGATGCGCCGGCCGCCGCGGGCCATCCCCTGCGTCTGACCCGGTTCATGGTCCCCGTGGGCGACCTGGGCAAGGAGCGCTCGATCGCGTGCCTGGGCCTGACGATGACGATCAACACGGCGATGGTGGCGCAGGCGCAGGCGCTGTGGGTGGCGGCGTGGATGGGCGAGAAGCTGACCCTGAAGAGTCAAGAGCGGTGTCCCGACCCAGCCAGGAAGGCCCTGCGGGTGCAGTCTTCCTCCGATGTGGATGCGGATCTGGTCTGGGAGACGACGCTGCATAGTCAGTTCGGGGTGCATCGCTATCCGGGCGGGTTTGGGCGCAGGAATCCGGATTTCGTGTTCGATGCGTTGCCGTATGTGGACTTGCTGTTGCGGGACTTGGGGCTGGATTATCGGAGGAAGGGCAAGTCGCTGAAGTGGCTGGAGCCGTATGGGATGGAGGATTACCGGGGGCTGGTGGAGGAGTGGATGGTTGACTGATGGGATTAACTTAGCGAGTGTAAGCATAATTGGGTCGTTTACGAAATAGCAGCAACGGTTTTCGAGCATGGCCTCATTCTGCCCTCTAGTAGCAGTCTTTCCAGGCTCAACTACCAAACATAGCCCTAACCCATCCTCCGTGGCGGAGACAAATCCTCCTCCACCTCACAGATCAAACTCCTCAAAGACCGCGACACCTCCGTTCACTTTCTGGCCCAACACCTCCCCATCCACTGTCCCCGTCCACCGGAAGAAATGCTGCCCATCGCCCGCCACCTCTCGCGTCCCCAGCATCGTCACCCGCACCCCCCTCATCACCACCTCGACTGCGAACCCGGACGCGGCGGCATGGCCGACCCGCTGCACGCTGACAATCCCGGCCTCGCAGCCGCTCAAGACCGTCACGCCATCTTTGAGGACCGATGCGCTGGCCACGGGGATGGTCGAGTTGAGCGGCGTCTCCTGGAACCAGACCAGCGAGTAGGGGCCGACGTGGGCGTGGCCCCAGAACCATTTCTTGACGAGCGAGTGGAAGGGGCGTTCCGACCAGTTCTGCGTTGCTTAGTACTGAACTACAACAAAGAGGGTGTGGGCACACCTTATCATGATACCCATACCCCTCGAACTTGACCGCCTCTCCATCGACGATCAGATCGACGGTGGCCTTCGCATGCGGCACGATATTCACCCAGCCGACCGACCCGAGTCGCAGCGAGGGATCGAACCGTTGGGAGGTAGTGCAGGGCGTTCGGGGCGAGGTAGCCTGGTATTGAAGTAGCGTCAGCTTGCCAGACCCAGCAAGAAAGTAACAGCAGAAAGGGGAATTGGAACCAACATTCTCCAACCTCAACCGCCCACTAATCCGACTGCCCTCCCAGCCGACCCAAACCTCCAGATTCGGGCCTGCCGCAGCAGCAGCAGCAGTCGCCGCCCCCGACCTAGCAAACAACCCCCGACCCGCATCCGCATCCCCATGCCCAACAACCCTCTTGCTCTTCCCCAAACGACCCTTCCCCTTCCCCTTACTCTTACCATCATTGCTCTTCCCCTTCCCCTTACTCTTGCCCCTCCCCATCCCCTCCCCACCAAACCCAGGATACCCCCCGGAAGAAGCAACCCACCCGCCCAACCCCTCCCAGAACCCGACATTCCACCCGCCGCCATCCCCCAACACGATGCCCTCACTCTCCTCCCCGGCGACGCCAATCTCACTGACCACCCGCCCGCCATCCCCGGCCACCGGACGGCTGCCCACGGCCCTCAAATCGCCTGGCTCCTCCTGATCACCCTTCTCACCTTTATCCCCTTTATCGCCGCGATCATTCCCATTGCCCCCACTCCCACCCCCAGTACCCCCATCCCCATCCCCATCCCCATCCCGATCCCGCCCCTCATCCCCAGGCGGAGGGGGAGGGGGAGCAGGGGCATCCGGCAAACTCACATAGACATAACTCCAGACGACCGAGCTCCCATTGCGGGGCGCCATCGGGAACGCGGCGGGCGAGCTGGTGAAGAAGGTGATGACGGCGGAGAGGTTGGGGTTGTGGGCGGCGACGGCGTCGAAGTACCACCATTCGAAGGCGGAGGCGTTGACGGCGGAGAGTTTGGGGGCGGAGAGCTCGGAGAGGGAGGGGTTGGGGG